GTAAACCTTTAACTAAAAAGCGGTAGTTTGAAGTTGCAAATTGAAGGGCCAGGAGTGACAGAAAGTGGGATGGTGCGAACTGCTAAAGAGCAATATAATTCAGTTAGCGAACCCTTCTCATCCCTGTACTCTGATTAAAAGAGCTTCGTTTGCGTGACAGCCTACAGGCACACAACACCGCATTTTTGCCAATCACAATGTATTTATGTAAAAGATTTGAAAATTCGTAAATTATTCCTCAGCGAAGAGAATTTTTTTTTTGGATAATCAGAAATAAGAGTTATTTTAAAGTATATATATAACTCTTTGAAGAAAGAATTATCTTCCCCCGAAAGAAATCAAAAATTAAGAACAAAGAGTTTAATATAACAAGCAATTAATTCAAAACGTACATTTTTCAATAATTCAAAATAATTTAATAACAATTGATGATAGATTCCAACTCATAAATGTTTGTAAAAACTATTAAAATAACATACAAAAAGTTATTTTTAAATATAACACACACCTACGCAAACTTTCCAATCGCTATATGTAGATATCTCTTTTCCTTCTGACATGCAACTTATTTGTCGACCTATCATTTGATCTGAAAACTTCTATTCGGAAATTGATAGATTTAGAAAATTTCTCATCTTAAAACTTATATATATTATTATTTCTACAAATAACATTAAAAAATTAAAACATAATAAAAAGAAAATTCCCAGATTCTTAATCTTCAGCGACAATACACATAATGTCACTGGTATTATAAATGTATTTACGACCATTTCTGAATAGCGTCTAACTTTGTAAGAATTATAGGACTTCATTTGAATAATAAGATAAATCATTGATTCACTTTAAAAGTGGTTTATGATCCTTAATGTGTCCAATAGAGATAAAGTTAGATCTAATGATGTTGTATACGATAAAATGATTAAATTAAATAGTGAATAAAGTGTTGAGGGGGATATATCCTTCAGAAAGAAAAAGGTATACTGATTAAAGAACGAGGAAATTGGATAATCATTGAAGTAAAGAGATGTAAGATTCAACATATTCTAACCCATATATTTGCCATACGATATTGAGCATAGGTCTAAGGTCACAGAAATCCCGCGGAGCGTTTATGGGGTGCGGGCATAAACTCATCCTAAGCACGTATCTTTGACTGTGTGAACGACGATGCGGTTTCAAGGCAATCCCATAAAGTAGCGGCTTGCCCTTATATATACCATGGTGGGTGGGTGAGTCTAGCTATCTTGTGGATTTTGTTTTTATTTTTTTTTTTATATATTCTGTTTAGCAGAGAGTACGATACGATTCATGTTGTCCATTTTTATGGATGGTGCGTATATGCCCTACACACAACATTATGACCCTGTCATCGACCAGATGCAAAATTCCAAAACCATAACATTTCTAACCTTTCCTAACCTTTCCACCAAATATCTTATCTTCTTTTTCCATCTTTCAAAATGTATTCTTTTTTTAACTTCGAGAAAATATAAACTGTTTTCATTTTATATTCATTAAAATTAAATAAATCATAATCTCCAAAATAAAAATTCATTTCCGTTTGTAAAATATATTACAAATGGCGCTAGTTCGAGTTTTAAATGATTAAGTAGAAAGAGTCACGAGTTTAATTAGAAGTTTGCAATACAGAGGAAATAATCAGTTTTACAACTACTGGTCAGGCTCGCAATATTAATTACTGTTGAAACGATACATGTCATACAGATATTAACCTATTTTTCAAATCCTCTATATCGTTCATGAACACAAAATTCTACTATATCAAATCTACTACTACTTTGACATAGTCAAAAAAAGATTAAAATTCAAGTATACAAAATTCAAGAGAATACTTAATCGATCTTAAAGAAACCCCGTTTAGATTCTAAAAGAATCGAAATTAATAGTATATATTTCGTATTACATTTCAATGGATCCACCATACTTTCATGGAATATAATTTGAATGTGAATGATAATTTGTAGAATAAATAACAAAAAAAAAAAAGAAATATGTAAAATAAATGCGGCGCCAAAAGGTCGGGACTGAATGTGAATCAGTCACTTTAAACCCAAAGTTGGATCATATATTCGAAAACGAGAAAGAGAGAGAGAGAGAGAGATGGACAGTTCCAAGGAGCAAAATGACGAAGGTTGTACATCCGTCCGCGTCTACTTCAAACGTCACTCGACGCAGTCGACCTACTATGCAATATGCATATATAGTTCCGAAAATAACGGGTGCAATAAATTATTTTACTCACTATGGCAGGCAACGAGCACCTACCACGCGTCTTCCAATGATTAACGCTATTCTCCTCGGGACATTTTATCGCGTCGAGTTGCGATCCACCACGTTAATCAACGGATTATTCATGCATGCTTTAAGCAATGGGGATCATAATGTATAAATAAAATTTACCTTTTTTTTCACATTCACATATTTCAATTTCATATGGAACGAACGCGAAATTTAAATTCAATTTTTTGGTCACTTTTATATATTATAACATTATTTTACATATCATAATAACTCGATATTATATTGCATGAAAAAAAAATAGTCAAGGATATAAGAAGTATTAGAATATGTTATATTGTTTCGAATTGAACGATAAAACATTAATTATAAAGCAGGTCGCATTGAATTGGCGCCATGGGCGATCCGAAAGTCAAGTCTAATAGAGATATGCTTCGAACCCCAATACAAAGATATTGCGAAGGCGGGAAGTAGCCTTTGCTATCGAAAATCTCAAAACTCGATGATAAAGTATACCTTTGGAAATGTATGTTTAAAGATTTAGAAAAAAAAAATTAACCAATTAATTATTATTTAGAATTGCCATATCTAATAAAAACTAAAACCTTTTTAATTCTTTTGATTTTCGCATTAAAACCATATTTTAAAACTTTCTGTTATATACCGTTTCTAAAGATAATAATCCTTCAGAGGATAAAATTAAATTGATATCAACTTGTTCACTTTGAACTAAGACTTGCGATAAGATTTCAAACCAACAGAATGCAAAGATATTGTTTTCGATAAAGACATCTGAGAAGTTTAAAGGATTTGTAAAGTAATAAATTATGCGAAAATTGAATTAATAAATTCGGAATTTTTTTTTAGGAAAATAAAAATTTTGAAAATAGAAAAACAATTGACATGTAACAAAAGCAGGTGAATGCAGCAGGTCAAATGGAAACCCGTGGGTTTTATCCCTTACGGCGTGAAAGATAACGAGCACCTTTCACCGATTTATCCTCTTATCAACGCCCACTTTAGTTTCGCCACTGTAGCAAGCTCTTTTTCGCATCAACAACAACAACAGCACTATTAACCCTCTCGGCTCGAGGAAATTGTTCACAGCTCTCGCAATAATAATCTACATCGTGATCGACTAAGAAACTTATATACTCTCAGAGAAAGAGAACCTTTATCTCAAATTCTCTCAGTGAGTCAGATAACGTCTATACCGCAGACGACCGAGAGACGTACCGACCTGTATTCACAAAAACTTTTTTTTTACCCCTCCCCTTTTGAACTTTAAGCAATTATTCTTTATTTTTCTTTCGCACTCGGTTAACCAAAGTACCAGTTTTCGACGCCCCACATATGCCGTAGGCATTCTATATATACTGAAAAGACTTCTAAAATTAAAGCGATAACGAATTTGAAACATTTATAATTTGACTTATCAAAAAAAATTTTTTAAATTGTTATTTCAGTCTTTTCATGTATAATAAGATTGAATAAATAGTAATTGAAGAAAGGATATTTTTCATTAGTTCTTATTGGTTCAATCATCAACAGAGGGGGAGGTTAAGATGCATCTCGTCAAGAAGTCATTCGTATTAGAAGTAAGACAGCAACGCATGTTTATAAAGAGCGATGCGTATCCCTTATTCTTCATTTTTTTCTTAGGTTACAAAAAGCACCTTTGTCAGCGTAACGATGTGCGTCGACAGCTTGTTATCATGTGCGTAGGCAGTGGGATATAGAAACAGCAATTGGAATCGTCAGCAGCAGTAGAAGAGTGAGATTCAAAGAGTAACCAAGAAACGCGAGGAAAAAACCGCAGGAAAAAAAACCGACATTTATTAGTGTCTGACAGTTGCCCTCTCTAGTACCAAGGGAGATGAAGAAAAGAAAAAAAAAATTAAAAAAAGATTGAATGTGCGGTAATGCGACCTGAGAACCTACATTTACCATAAGAAAACAAAGTAACCAAAGTAAAAGGACAAGAGTTGTAAAAACTATACAATAAAGTTTATAAAAAGAAATTATATAAAGTGTCTCATGAAAATTCTATTTAGAGCTTTTGTATGTCAAAGAAAACCCATTTTCTAAAAACCTATTAAAAAAATAAAATTAAAAACAAGTATATCTCTTCTTTGAAACAAGCTTCGATTTCTTGAATCACTTAATAAATTATTGACTCATTATTCCTTACAAGGTTACAGATACATAATTCATATGCTGAGGGCAAGAGAGAAAGAAGACGATAAGAGGAAAAGAGATAGAAATTCGAGGCACACGCTTTGAGTGTACAAAAATATAGGTATACACAAGAAAAAACACCACAAAAAGATTTTTCTAATATAAAAATTACGAATCTGATTTATAGAATGATTATAAACGGTGTGATCAATCGTCTGTCTATATTTATAATACGAAAAGAAAAAGTTCCGCAAGGTGTGAAGTTTGTTTTCACATTGTGCGCATTGTATACCTTATATGTAAATGGTGTAAAATGACTTAAGGCTTATTAGTCATTGGCGCTTACTCGTCAATCAAGATTTTACCACATGAAATGACGATTGTTAAACCCATAATAATGTAATTTACCATTCACCAATTGTACAATAATAATAGTATTCACCGATAACAATGGATTGCATACCCTTTGGTATATTACAAAATCTAAATTTGCAACGCGCCAATATTTAATTGCTACAATCAATTTTCATATCTTAAATTAAAATGTAAATTTTACTCACATTATATTCCAGAACTTTCCTCGCATCTCGTTCGAACAGCATCTTTTCTTGACGATTAATTTATTTCCACTGCCTGAAAAACAATAATCAAACATTAGTATTTGAAAAAAAAAATTGAATTATATTTATAAAACCATGCAACAAAATAAAAGACAATTATTTTAAATGATAAAGTTCAATATAGTATTTACAATGAAAAATTTGTTAGGGGCGTTTATAAAGGCGACGATATAATGTATTCTTATATGCGATAACGAGTCCTTAACTCCCTCCTATCACATACCAAAATCGTTATTTATCACATTTATAAAGTGTGTATATAAACTTAGGATGTTGTGTGCATACCGCGAATGTATATATATAAAGAAAGGAGTTGCAACCGTCTACCTTAGGCGATTCTTAAATCATAACTTCTCAAATATTCAATTACCGACATATATTGTTTTGCATTTGATGCATTGCAGCAAGGCGCGATGCATCCCGTACACGCCCAACACCTACGTAAACTTGCTAATTTCAAAGTGCTTTAGGATAGGATGATAATTAATTTAGACGAATCGCAACCATTACCTTTACTAATTAGCATAACTCCCGGTTCCGCACTTAGGTGAACGTCTATTAGTCTCCTCTCTTAACATTTACAACAATTTTTTCAATTTTTTTAAATTATAAAAAAGATTTTTTGTTCGGCAATTTTGGTTGTAGTAACCAAATTTTGGTTGGCTGAAGCAAAGTTCTAGAGTTATCGCAACCAAACATTTGGTTAGGCCAGAAAAATTATTTGGTTGAACATTTTTAAATTCCAATCAAAACTTGCTTACAACAACCAAATAATTTAGTTCGCACTCAGCTCGTACCTTATGGGGACAATTTGAACTAAACATTTTTGTTGCCCTAACAAAAATATTTGGTTAAGCTAAACATTTTTCCTGTTTGATTAAAAAATTACATTTAAATAATGAATTAAATTAATTAATAAACACATATCGTATCATTTTATGATACTCAACAGAAGTTTTAATGAAATGAGTATAACTATACTTTAAAAAAAATCTTTCTATAATTTTAAGATACTTGGTATAAATTTTAATGATTTTATTTTTTATTAACTGATTTTCATTATATTTATTTTTATACCCGAACAAAGAGAGTTTGTGGAGACAATTGTTCTATTCATAGCCTACAATGAATTTTATGGTTATCTTTGCATTTAAAATATATATTAAAAAACGACAGTTGTAATTTTTTTTTTTTTTTTGGGCGTGGAGATACATTTTGAAGAGTTTTAGTCTATCAAATTAAATATGCCAAACACGTCAATGACAAAACGTCATACAATTGAAAATAAGAATCAACATTATTAAGAAAAAAGAATATAATGTTCTAAACATGAAAGTAATATGAATTTCATTATAGTATTGACAAATTTCAAAAACTATTTTACTATTTTTATTTTGCAAGATGTTCTTCAATAAGGAAGAAATATTAAATATTTAATAGTACAATTATTTTAGTTCTTTTTTCTAAATTAACCCTTTTAGTAGAAAAGTACTTTTAACAGTATAATAAAAAATGGATTAATTTCAGGAAACATAAAATTATTTTTTAATAAAAAAAAATTTTTTTCATGAAAGCAAAGTATCCTAATTTAGTAAATTTTTCACAACTGATTTCACTAAACTATATGCGCGATCATTTTCTCAAGGAATGAATTTTGATATTGCAATATTGTAAACGAGGTGCGATTTTCAACAAACTTGACCAATAAGTTAATTGGAAATCTAATTTACATGTAAATATCTATTATCCTATATCTGGACATCACTTTAATCATTCCGGTTTTCATATAATTCCGGACTCAGAAAATCAAAAGTTGTCTTCTTAGATTAATTTTTTTTTTTAAATTAGAACCCTTTCACCGTATGTATCGCGTGTCACACAAAAAAAACAAAAAATAAATTATAATTACTGTTTTAAATTTCACGATAATATCCATTATTTGAAAATATTTTCTTTTTTTACTTTCTTTTCAAAGATTAATGAATAGACGTTTAATGATCGTTTAATGTAGTCTCTCTTTCTCTCTCTTTCCCTTGAAATTGATACCGTATTAAAGTGAAATGTCTTGGGTGGTCTGAGAAGCGTCATTGTAACATCAATTGATCATGAAAGGCGCCTCGGTCATTCACGCGCTTTCTTTTTCGAAGGGTTGCCGCGCAACCTGGAATTTACTTTGCAGCGATAAAATCAACCCTCTTATGTTTCGAACAAGTTTACGGAATTTAATGTCACTTACACATTGCTTCAACAAATCTTGATAAATACCAAAGGTTTTAAATTCGAGTTAACAGTATCTCTTGCAACATTTATCGTAAACAATCCGACTTGAAATTCAAACTATGTGTTTTTTTTTAAAAAAGAGCACACTTTTCTCATCATACAATTTTAGTAAGTAAGTTCATTTTGTAATTAATTTCAAAGAATAAAATTTTACATCTAATTTTAATTCTTCATGAGAAATATATAAATAGTATCTTTTCATGAGAGTTGATCTTTTATGAAGAAAGTAAACGTGCTTTTGCGTGCGACCTGTTGCCACTGGTATAAAGGTGCACTTCAAGTAATTCCAATGCAAATTCCGGCAATATTGCGGTGAGCATGGAAGCACTGTTATCCGATTTCAATTTCTCGTCGTAATTACTATGTAGATACCACTCTTATACAGATTTCTGTTTAAGTACCAGTGATCAGCATCCCTCGAATCACTTTTATGCATATATGAACATTGAATGTAATCTGTTGTTATATATTCATATTCAAGTAAACATCTATATTGGTCCCCACGCAGTATCATAACACAAAATTTTTAATCGAAATTTGATCTTTAATGCAATTATAATCTATAATAAATCGTTTTATTTCATCGACTTTTAAACAATTTGTAACTTAGCGAATTAATTTCCAAATCGAAATTTATTTCTTTTAATGTCAAATTTAAAGAAATATTTGCAAGTCGATGACGCAGATTCGTCAGCACCATTCGTAAGTCTGATTCAACTGTCTCTAACTCTCAACATCTGGCTATAAATAAAGCCAGGCGTGACACAGATTGAACAACGACTTTGCGGAAGCTTTAAAGCTCCTGTAATTCTTCGTTAATGAGGAATAAAGTACACACACACACTTCTGTTTGCTCATAAAATCAACTGATTGTTATATAATTAAATCAAAAATCTTATAAACATATACGTGAGAGAAATGATTAATTGAAATCAAATTGACAAATCTAAATATTCAAAAATTGTAAAAAAAAATTAGACTAGGGAAAAAAAAGTCGAAAACGAAGAAAAAAACTAACTCAGCAGTGGATGAAGTGGCGTTAATCGTTATGACGATGATGGCAAAAAAAAAGAGGAAAAACACCAAGAAAAAGTGGTTAGCATAATGCTCTTCGAGCCTGTTATTACCCAAACCGCTAACATGGTACAAAACGCCCTTCAGAATCCGGTACACACGTTTAAAAAAGTACCAACAAGATGTTTTTAACTACTTATATGATTTTTTTAGATTTTATTATATTCTATTTTTTTAACCGAATATAAAAAAAAGATTTCACAGACTACAGAATCAGCAATAAATAATATCATCGAGCCACTTATGATTAGTATAGATTTAAAGAACATTGATATCAATTACAACATTAATTGAAAATATTTTAAAATCCTATAAATCAATTAAACTCCAAAACAATTCGTTGACAAATCTAAACTAATAAAATTTCAATTATGCGTTTATAGTTACAAAAACTAACAATTAGTATAAAAATTCCGCACAGACACTATTTTTACAGATACAGAATATAAATCATCAAAAATACAATAATGATAATGCACACTTTTTTGACCATATACTGAAACAGCAATTTATATAAACCACAAAAAGATTTGCATCTCTTGTATGCTACTGAACAGGTGTTGATATTTACGACCTAGAAATTTATCAGATTTAATCTAGTCACCTCTGAGAAATGATCAAAATTTTATCCTTGAAAAAAATTTTCTATTTTAAGCTCGCTCAACACATATAAAGAAAGAGTTATTTGATTTTACAATGAAAATTTCACTTTTTAATTCATTTTGAATAAAAAAATAAAATCAGAAGAAAACACAAGTGATACTGATATTGTATTAACTTATGGTACATGCAATGTCATCCGTTCAACTGCAGCAAATTAGCAGAATCTACACTCCACAAAACACGTTGAAATAATTTACGTTTAAGTGAACTTGCGTGCAGTGTAATGGTCGATGTTCAACATGTACCTACCACACATGAATCCCCTATTCTTTGTCTTGCAGTTCGCAGAGAGAGAGAAAGAGAGAGAGAGAGACCAATGTAAAATCACCCACGTAAAGTTTCTTATAAATGAGATATAACAACCATTTCTGTTAAATTTATATACTTAGCACTTATGTATAGCATTTCATTATTTTATCCAAAAGAAAAGGAAACAAAAACTTAAGTTATAAATCATACAGTGTATTTTCAACACACGTATACATTATATCAGAAGCAGCAGGATTTACAAAAAAAAAAGTAATTGTTAATTCTTGCGAATCAATTAAAACCTGTCAACAGTTTTATAAAAATTAAATTGCAGTTTAATGACCCTATATATTGTTGATGCAGAATCTCTCTGTTGCACTTGGCGCTTTACCTTGCGGGTAAGAATGCGGAATAAATTCTTGTCAACCTACGCGCTTTACCAGATCATTAATGAATATTACTATATACACTCAAGTCCCTAAATGTCAATATTTAAACGTTTTTATTGGTAAATAAGAACATCGAAAAAAGACTACACGCGCTTTTTTCATAAATTTATTTATAAAGATAAAAATACCTCTAATTATCTTTCCACCAGTATAATTAAAATTTGAATTGAAAAACTTTAACAAAACCGTGATCTATTTCTGAAAACCAAATACTAATGTGGATTTGAATATATAGTTTATATGTCATTTAGAAGACCTATCAAATGACAGCAAAAAGATAAAATGAAGAAAAATCCTTATATAGTTGGATCATTAATAGTCGATCTTCTGTTGAGACGACTCTCTGCCTGCATAAATTAACCTTGTGCGCCAAAGTCTTAAGACCTTAAGTAACGCGGGCACTCAGTAATTGCCCGTCGTTCCTTGGCGCCCCTCAGCGCTTGTTAACCACAGACACGTTTGGACAATCAGCAATAAATGTTGTCCAAGACACAAAACTATTTTTGATGAAAAAGAAGAAACTAAAATCGAATTTCTTCACGCACAAGACATTTTCTTGTCAATTTTATTGAACATGATTGGTAAAATTTAAATTAATCATGTTATGCAAATATAAATCATAAAATATTTGATACCCCTCTGATCTTGTTTTTACTGTCTTTAACACTTTCTTTAATTAAAAAAAATTAAAGCCGGGTTTTGTCTAAACTAAATTTTTTGTAATAAAAATTTTTCCAGTAAATTAAAATATTTACCTTAATAACGAATTTTCAGCATCCAGGAGATTCTTTCAAACTAAATAGTCCTCGGAGATCCCTACTTTCAAGTTAAATTTCCATTCAGAAAATATGAAAAATAGACCGAGTTCTAAAAAGTCTGAATATGAAGAATGTGTCCTTCCAGATAAGATATCCTTTTTTACATTTGCCCTTTGAAGTACGTGACACCACAAGCCATCGAGGATAGAATCTGCAAAAAGAAAAATTAAAATACTGTTAATACTTACAAAAATAAGACCTCAGAGTAAAACGTTGTCACGTCAAAAAAAAATCTTTTGCCTCTAGTGAAACAAATTCCCAACAAGTTTAGGAATTTATTTTAAAAGGCAAATAAACACGATGAAAACGTCAATGAAGTTTGTTTTCTTTTTTTTTTTTTATCAACTATAGGTACTTTCTATTTTAGCAATAAATTTCGTTTTACAACCTCGACATGTCCGATTGACATCTTTATCCGCGTGTTTTTGAATAAAAGATGTGCCGCGGTTGCTTCACATTCGGAGCTGCGAAAATATATGTTGTCGCGCAAAAGTGCGGCATCCAAAAAGCGAAAAAACGGCTTTGGCTATGTTATATTCAACGCGCGACACGTGTTTACAACAAACCGAAACCTAATTTTTTAATTTAAATAATCTCTCACTTATATATAATAAATACGTATACACATTTTTTCAAAACAATATATAATCATTTTTGTAAAAAGCACTATACATAATCAAAAAACTCATCAACTTTGTAAATTTATAAATTTCATATAAAAACGAGATCAGCAAAAAACTTAAAAATAAGAACACGTGTATAAAATTGATGAGGTTCTTAAAAATTACTACCTCTTTCACAACTTATTGAAGCTTTTAAAATATATATATAATCGTTTTCAAAAATTATTCTGTATGGAAAAAATGTTGAGCGTGAAGAATTTTTTTTTTTTTTTCTATGATTAAATTTGTTTCGCGATTTATTATCTTTTGACATAATTGAATCTACTCTTTAAAAGATAAGATTCTCTTAAATTAAGATTTACACTAAAACTGCCGACAATTTATTTCAAAAGCTTATAAATTATGTCGAAACAGGGTGTGAAATTCTATTGATTCTTCGAGACTGTAGGAAACTTTAACTTCAATAAATAAACTTGCCAAAAATATATCTGTTACATCCGGAAGAGAACGAAGCATCACATTATAGAAATAAGGAAAAGTCTTGTACAAATAAAATAAATCACTATAAACTATTTGCGTTAAAAAAATTTTCAAATTAAAAATTACAAAAGTTAATCCACTAATAATATCCTTTTAAGGGAATAAATTTCCACTTATTGTATAAAAAGATTAATTACAAAGTATTTGATTGCCAACTTTATTTTTTAATTTAATTCTTTAATCCCGTTAAAGGAATGAAGATAGTATATAGAAAATATTAATACATACTGCATATTTCTCCAATTTTGCAACGATTTTTTAAATAATATCAAAGTGGAAACAAAAAATTCAATAACGAACATCGACAATAATTTATTGTAACACGTTTTGCTATTAAGTTATGGTTAATATAACTTCTGTAATTAAATGGTGACTTGTTCGATTTAACTTATCAGATAAAACGTCTTCTAAGGTATATTTACATCACTTCTTCATTTCAACATACTGCGTTCCAGATGAATTTTTTCAATTAACCATCCTACACGATAAAAGGTATCTTGTTTTTAGAGCAGAATCTTCGTGATGAAGAAATAAATGAGAAAACTCATGTGGAACGTATATATACAGAAGCAAAGATGAAAAATTATTAAGCGGCAGTTATAACGGAAGTCGTCGAAAATAAAAAAAAATTATGAAGAATTTCTTAGTGGTGTGAGATGGCGCGAAAATATGCGAACCAAAACTATATATCTTACCCATAGGAATAAATTATTAATTTATGCGAACTATGTACTTAAAGTTTAAAACGCATCGATAAATGATTTTTTTAAATTGAAGATTCATTTTCTAATTATCAGCATGAAAAAAAAGTAAAATTTTGGAACGAATATATATTTAATCGAAAATTGATAAGAATTATTATACTTAATGGATCATTATATTTGTTGTCTTAAAATTGAAAAAAAAAATTGAATTGTTTCAGAATGAAGAAAATATTCAAAAAGCTGTACGACTCACTCAAAGGGAGAGAAGATTTATAAAATTTGCATCCGTTGAATTTGATGGGCAACTCTATATGACGCCACAAGATTTTTTGGACAGTGTCGTCGAATCACAACCAAGACGTAAGATTTCTTATAATATTCAATAAAATCAAAAATTTTAATTTTACTATTTCGTTTTTTATTAAATCTGAAACCCTGATTATATTTTCGATGCCTTTTAGAATCTTCTTTCCCACAAATCTAAAGTTTCAAGGTCCCGAACATCGTCTCGCACATACTTTATTTGTTCACACGCTTTCCATGTTTCTTAATGATTTATTTTTGCAAAAACCTGAGAAAAAGAATATAAAAATGGTTGTTTCTAGTAATTTCACTATATAGGAAGAATTTACACTCCCTATTTGTTAAGAAACAAAATTTACCCTTTTTTCAGCTAGACTAAAAAGACGAATTTTATCTGAGAATGAATTAGATGCCATTAAAAAATCAACCCCTTCACTTCGCCAAGGAAATTCGCACATGTTTCGTGATCTTCGAGACAAAGGTAAAATTTATTTTTTAAAAAAGAAATTTTAATTTTCTTTGAAGGAAGCTTGAAAATTGTTTTATTTTTCTTTTCAAAACTATCTTAACTAAAAATCGAAAGTTTGAAAGACAGAATGTCAGCCACTGTATATATAAGATTCTGCTAATCGTCAGTGTTTGTCGCGCTAATGGAAATGCAAATAATTACAGGGCCAGTTTCACACCTTCGCCCTTTTAATAATGAGAAACTTGCACTCTCTTCGACACGTCTTTAATCTCACTTTGCACGCGTGGGAATTCAAATGGTTGATAAACGAGTTCAGTTAAAATACATAAAGTTCTCTCTTTCTCTCTCTCAAGACCTTCACCATATTGATTTACGAGCTTTTGCAAAACAATTTTCAATTAATCATTAATCAATATTGTTTGTTAAGCATAAAAAGAAATTCTCATCATTTTAAATTTTTAATTCCTTGTTTCAGGAATAATATCCTATACAGAGTACCTGTTCTTGTTGTCTATTTTAACGAGTAAGTATATTTCAAGAATTTGTTTTTGGAACAATTTTGCGGGCAATTTATATTGAGAGGGTACGAAATTTACACATCAACGCATATGTATATTCACAAACACCGTATGTTTTTCTATATTATTTTATGTACTTCATAAATCTTTAAGGGCATTTACTCTGTACACGCGGTGGTTAAGGCTCACTTTCATTTCACCCCTTTTTCAAATTATATAGTTTGCACAAGAACGAACGTTTTATTTATGAATGTCTACGTCTAAATTCTAAAGTACTAAATTTGTAAGTCGTATATAACTGGCAGTTTCACCTAACATGTTCATCAATATATTGTTGTGCATATACACATGTGTGGGCTTATTGAAATTTATCCAGAATTGTAAAGGAATCACTTCCTTGTATAAATCTGAGAAATGAAAAAACTATTTTAATAATGATTTTTTTTTTTAAATATTTAAATAACTTTTATTAATATTTTATTCTAATTTATTATTTTTTCTATTAATTTAATACCCCTGCACTTTATTATTTAAAAATAACATTCCAGTATAAATAAAACTCAAAATTTTTAAAAAAAATTCTTCGAAAAAACTGATAAACTTTTCAAAAGACATAATTTTTCTTGTTTCAGAGCCCCAAACTGGTTTTCGCATTGCTTTTAACATGTTCGATACTGACGGAAACGAGAGAGTCGATAAGACTGAATTCCTTGTTGTAAGTTTTATGTACCACAATGTTTATAGTTTAAAAAATTTTATAGCTTTTTGTCAAACAATTTCCCTCCTAAGTCATTCACTTTTACCGAACTTTATATAAAGGTTTAAGATATTTGAGGTTTTATTTTTATTAAATATTTAAAGATTTTCTAATAAATTATAGCTAAGAATTGAACAACAGAAAGAAATATTAAAAAATAATAATTTTTAAAGAAAATTTCTTTCTGTCATTCATTTCTCATTTTTTTGCATGACAAAATTCACAGATTCGACGATTGTTCGGCGGAAGTCTAAAGGAGAGAGAACTTGATGATCTTACAAAATTTGCAGTGAGTTTCTGACATCCCAAAAAAAAAAAATTCTCTCCAACTATTTCTGTAACATATTATATGGGATTGAATTTTATTTCTTTCGAACTCCCCCTTAAAATTGCCATAATTTAAGTGTGAAAGCTTAAAAAATGTAAATATCTCATCAAATTTTGCTGCAAGAACAAAACTTAATTTGCATTCATAAAATGTATTCAACAGGTGCTTAAAATTTTTTTCTTTTCTTTCTATTATTTTAATTTTAACTATTAAATAACAAATTTTATCACTAACAGTTTTTTTTTTATAATATGCAACAAAAATAAAGGCATGCCAAAATAAATTCAGTACACAGAAAATTAAAAGGCATTAAAATAAGCTGCAATGCTTATTATTTTAATCCAATTTTGCTTATTTTAATACCAAAATGGATTAAAATAAGCAAAATTGGATTAAAATAATTAAGCAGCTTGCAGCTTATTTTAATGCCTTTTAATTTTCTGTGTAAATACAGTACTTGATGAATTTATTTTCAATTCGACATTGCAATTAATAGCTTTGTTTTATTTTTCATAGTTTTTTAATTTATATGTCATCGTTTGATTATTGTACCTTTTTTTAAACCAAATATAAATACTACCAATTTCCTAACCATAACTAAAAGTGTAAGAAACAACTAACCATAAAAATGCAAAGTGAATAAATAGGGATTAAAATAGATTCAGCTATAAGCGAAAAGTAATCAGTTATTTAATCGACACTGTTTGTATTATAGCTACTGTAACCGCGGTTTTATACATTATCTCTCTCTCTCTATATATATATGCATAATTGCATATACATCCATTACATATAGGAGATCTTAATTTTATTTGCAATTAGTACCTACCAACAAGTTTATAATCGATCAAAGAAGGCAGTCAGTCAATTATTATTTGTTATGTTATGAAATGTTCACTCTTATAGATTTCGTTCATTAATTAAAACCGTATTAGAAAAAAAAAGAAATAAAAATAATAATCGAAAAATATGACAAGAATGAAAATGAAAAACCCGTTTAGATGAAGCCATTGCATTAAATTTTTTTTTAAAAAATATTAATAATTTTATCTCTCTTCGTCTTCATATGTGATCAAGGAGAAAATTATATTTTATCACTTATGGTAATTGAAAAAGATATTGATTACTGATCGATACGATAATTTCTTTACGAGTTAATCTTCTTCTTTGATATTCAGTGCCACCATCAATATATTGACAAGAATTTAATAATTATATCCTTTTTATCATAAACGACACGGTGTTTTACAAATATGTTTAGTAAAAAAAAAATATATGTGCTTTTTTGTAAATTAACAAAATGCATGAATTGTGCAAAATTTTTATTAAGAAAGTTTTTACGTTTTTTTTTAATATTTCAATTGTATTTAGTTACAAAAATTGATCGCACCAGGCGAAGAGGTTCTGAATACAAAAATAAAACTCCGTGAATTTCATCATGACTCTCAAAGTGAAAACAACCAATTTTTTGTAAGTTTTCATGTGTGAATTTAGGTATTTTTTTGTTTGTTTTTAAGTTCATGTCCAAGACAAAAGCAGCGGTACCATAATTATTGATACTTAAAGGAAAGAAAATTTTCTTATATCGATTGAGTAAAAAAAAAAAAAATTATTTTTACGACGTCGACCATCTTGGACATGCACTTAATGTATAAATAAATGTGTACAAAGAATTTTTGTATTAATTGTTTGATTAGATTAATCTTTTGTTTGCTAAATAACTAAGTTCATTTTGCAAAGGGTCAGTTAATTTAATGCTTCTTCATAATACATATTTATTAATTTTTATGTTTTCTATATTCATCACAATCAGTTATATGATAAAAATCAGTATGTATATTAATAACCATAGCACTTGTTTCAGATGTGATGGTGTTGGATAATTAGTTTGCAGTGTGTTAAATAACATAGATAAATGTTTTATCTGAATTTTTTTTTTTTTTTAAATAAATTAAAAAGTGTTTTATGTTATTAGATGGAGAAAATTTTTAGTCACGCGTGGAGAGGACGTCGAGGAGAGGAAATAAAAGAAGGATTAAATCAATTAACAATGAAAGAAGCAACCGTTGAAGAAATTCAGGGACAATTTATCGATGATGATCAAGTAAGAAATTTGATAAAATTAAAATTCGTATAGAAGTCCAGACAAAGATGTGTGACCTTTTAATTAATGAAATTTTAATGTTCATAGGGTTTGCAACGACGTCACATGGTGGATACGAGTCTAATGATACATTTTTTTGGACAAAATGGTAAAAATGAATTAAAATACGATGGCTTTCGGCGTTTTATGGAAAATTTACAACATGAAGTTTTAGAATTAGAATTCCATGAATTTAGTAAAGGTCACGATACAATATCAGAATTAGATTTTGCCAAGATATTATTAAGATACACTCTATTGGATGCAGATGAGTAAGTTTTGACAATATCTCATATTTAATTAAAAATAATCAAATTCAAATTTTTCAACTTAAGAAAATTAATTATTATTTTTTAGATATGACAAATATTTAGACAGATTACTAGATCGCACAAATAATACAATAGGAATAACTTTTAAAGAATTTCAAATATTTTATCAATTTTTAAACAATCTTGATGATTTTGCTATTGCAATGAGAATGTATACATTAGCAGATCATCCTATCTCTAAAGGTAGATTAGTATATATATTTTTAATTATACTATTAATTTGTTTAGAAATAAAATTGGAATTTATAATTTTTTACTAGATGAATTTTCGAGGGCTGTGAAAATTTGTACGGGTACTCAATTATCTTCACATATTATTGAAACAGTATTTGCAATTTTTGATGTCGATGGAGATGGCCAATTATCTTATAAAGAATTTATTGCAATAATGAAGGACCGACTTCACCGAGGTTTTAAAGTAAGCAAAAAAATTATAATAATTAATAATTTTTTTATACAAAAACAAAAAAAATAATTAATTATATTTCTTAATTTATCTATATGTGAGAATATCCTAATTCATGGCAACAATTCGTCTCGATTACAAGCTTGTAGGTCAGAAAGTCTATGTACAGGCGTTACTTTCATCATTGACTGCAATATTTAACTTTTGTAGATAATTTCTGTTAATTCTTATTATTTTATAAATCCTAATTTTAATTCAAAAATTTCAAAATTTATTTCAAAAAATGTTTTTACATTTTTTTCAGTCTCAATCAAAGAATGAAGGATGGGACGCATTTAAATTCTGTATAAAACAAGAAATGAAAGCGCCTTAAGTTTATAACAGTTCTTCCTCTTTGAATTTACTGATTTTCAACGTTGCCGATAAAACCTCTATAATTACTAAGAATTTTTATAAATTTTACAATAATTTTAATGAAAATTGATTTAAATGCATTTAAATAATGTTAACTTAACTTATGTTATCAAAAGAGTTTATATAGAGTTATACGAGATTAATTTATACCACGTGCGTGTAATTGTGTATAGTAGGAAAATTTTTTATTTATCTTAAAACCGATTTATGTGATAAAAAAAGCAGAGAACTAAATAATTTTCTATATAGAAATTTTAATATAACAAAATCACTTATTTTAACCATCTTATTTATTTTTATTTATTTTAAGTTAGCATTAATTTCAAAATATATACTTGCTTTTTTGCATTAAAACTTTTAGTTTCATAATGACATTTTTTAAATAATTAATACTGAATTTTTTAAATTAATTTTTAATTATATAGAGATAAGAAAAATTTAATGATTCCTCGTTATAACAAATAAGTTAATACTTTGACTATGTAAATAAAATTCAACGAATAAAATAATTTACAATAATTATATTTATATAAAGAAAACGCACAAGAAATCTCATAATATATTGCGCAAAGTGAGCACAGAATTGTTACCATTTCATAGTATATATCTCTTTATCTGTTAAAAATTATTTATGAAATATTTTACTAGAGAGAAATAATAACTTGTTATATTTGTCTTTAGTCTTCCTATATTTATAATTCAATTTGTCAATATTTTAAACTACTATATGTAAATAAATAATTAAAATATTGTATTTATATAAAAAAAAAACTTCTAATATATTGTAAATCAACTATTATTTATTGTTACAAATTAAAAATTACCTTTATATAATACTCAAATGATATTGTATAATTCATCCAGATTTTAAAGAAAAAAAAAAAAAATGAAAATAAAAATGTTCTAATTTAAAAAATGATCAAATACTTTAATTTCACCACTTGACCTGATTTTCAACATACGTGTTATATACATTGTAATTATTACTTAATTCGTTGATTACTGTCTGGTATTTTCATAAAACGTGCCGCCAAAAAAAGGGAAATAATTTGTTCACACATCGAGATTATAATCGCGTGTTGTTAAAATTCCTTTTTACATATTTCCTTTACATTCTCAAAAGACAAAAAAAAAGATAAGAACATTGACATCTTCATTTTTGCAATGAAAGAAAAATATTATAGAAGAATTCGAACAAATGATTATTCGGATAAACAAAATTTTGAAAAATTAAAAATTCGAACAAATAATTATTCGAATAAATAAAAATTTGAAAAAATAAAAATTCGAACAAATGATTATTCGGATAAATGAAAATCTGAATAAATAAAAATTCGAACAAATGATTATTCGGATAAACAAAAATTTGAAAAATTAAAAATTCGAACAAATAATTATTCGAATAAATAAAAATTTGAAAAAATAAAAATTCTAACAAATGATTATTTGAATAAATAAAAATTCGAACAAATAATTATTCGAATAAATAAAAATTTGAAAAAATAAAAATTCGAACAAATAATTATTCGAATAAATAAAAATTTGAAAAAATAAAAATTCGAACAAATGATTATTTGGATAAATGAAAATGTGGATAACGTATACAGAATATGATTAAGATCTATACTTTTATTCTAGCCAGGGAAATTTTTTTTTTTGTTCTTTATTCAGGTCTGATTTACTATCCGATTAAAATCATAGTATATGTGGAAAAATCAATATATGAGTTTTTGTATGTTATATAATAGAAATAAAAATATAAATGTTGTAAATACAGGAGAGGTCATAATGGGAATGACAGTAAATAGTGTGGAAATAAATGACTTGAGAAGAATTTAAAACCTTATCAAACTTCAGTAGTCGAAACGACGTTAAATACGAATAACACAATTTTATTAAATCTAATATTTAAGAATTATATATGTATATTTAAATTTTTATTATTGACAGAACAATATTTTGTGATAAAAAATAAATTTATCTAAGTGCAAGTTTGAATTTAAATTTAAATTGCAAAAAATTACATAATTTATCTTAATTATCAAATAATTAAGAAATAAATTTTTTTTTCTAATGTTCAAATTTTAATTTTGACGAAAAAACAATTAATTTTTTTTGAATTATTTTTGAAATTTTTTGAATCATTTTTATTTATTTTTTTTTTGGGGAACTATTGATGATGTAATTGAAAAATCTCATTAAACAATGACTTAACATCACTTCCTGGTAGTACCAGAAAACGTGGGAAGGATGTACAAACTAAATTTGGGGGGGAAGACGAAAGCGTATCGGAGTAAAGAGGGGGGAAGTACTCGAGATCGAAATATTCACCGAACCGGGGTTCAGGGCAAAGTGGGAAACCGGCCCGGTAGCATTGCGAATAGTGAAATAGAAACACGCGTTCGGTCCTTGAAACGCATTATTTTATTTGCATCACCAGTGTATTATTTTTTAAGTGTCATCAATTTTTATTTTAAATTAATTAATCGTTGTGCTACATGTGTCATGGGGATTATGGGTGTACTGAAATGGCTACGAAAGTAAGTAACCACAACAAACTTATAAAAACACCCTCTCAATTCGCTATTATGATTATGAAATAACAAATTCAATATAGACAATTTTATAAACAGTAACAACCTTTTTACAAACTAGTTGTGAAAAATATAAAAATATAAATATTCAAAAATAATTTCTTTATAATTATTTTAATAAAATAATTTTTATTTTATTTAAATACGAGTGCGATACTTCAAAAATTAATAACACATTATTGTCATGTTTTTATTTAATTTATCCATAACTAATTTTAATTTATTATATATAATATATTTATTTTTAAATTAATTAATTCAAATGTCATTAAAATACTCTGGTATTGAATTGATAAATTAATTACTATTTTTAATAAATGAAATTACTCAAAAAAAAAAAAAAATAGGAATTTTCTTCAACTTTAATTAAACGTGAGAAATTGTACGTTTATCAAATGCAAGTTTATCTGCAATCTTGAAATACAAGATAGCAGACTTCTTATTGAAGATGAAGGTCAATTTATTTTATAAAAATACCATACGATTTGTTATAAATAAACTCTTTCATTATTTTATTTAAAAAATATTATTTTCATTAAAATATTTGAATCAATAAAAAAAAAAATTGCTGAAAATAATTTACTAGCCATGCAATTATTATTTATATGAAAAAATTGTTTTTTTTTTTACTTTATTTTACTAAAAAAAAAAAAATAATTTTTTACGTAAAATATTTTGCATTACAATTGTCTATAGAAATTATGATTTTTTGTTTGAATCTTTTAATAAACAAGAGCTTTCTAGAAAATATTGAATATTTAAAAATAAAATAGGTTCGTCCCTGTTAAACTATACTGTGGATTAGAAAATTTTTGGGGAAAAACAACCATTATCCGAATAGGAGAGTAACGATTTGCTCATAAAATTTTTGCATTTACCTGCCAGACTGGGAAGAGGTATTTATATTTCGTTTTAGTGTACAAGAATATTAAGAGGGATTTGACCATTATTGCTGAGATGAACCATTCTTATTGTCCCAAAGTCTAATCTTATCCAATTCATCTGAGTCAGGTATGACAACTAAAGTAATACAATAAGTATTTCAAAATTTAAAAGTGGCTGTCGCCTATACTTGTTTATTTCTTCATTGCACAGTATTCTCAAATACAATAGACCCCAAGTCTCATATGTTTAGAAATTTTTAAAATTTTACATAAAATCTTTAACAGACAAACTGGTACATTTATTGAAATAATAAAAATTTATTTTTTAAAAAATTATGACAAAAAGAATTAGTTATTTATTTTACAAGATTAAGAACAAACAAATTAGTTCCAGTTGAATAAAGAAATAGTATTGAGTAAAAATCAAGTTTTTCTTTAAATTTTATTGCCTTATTTTTGTTTTTATTGATATTTTTAATATACACTTAAAAATTATTTAATATTTTTTTTATATTACATGGTTACATAAAAGTATGTCAAAAAGTTTTAAACTGAATATTAATGCATTTATACTCAGATGTGCAAAATCATTAGTATCATTTGAATAAATGAAAGTGCATGACTCGGTAGAATTTTAATAGATTAGAAATTGGGACAATTTTTATGCCGTTCCCTATAATCTCAACTATCGAAAACTCAAGAACTGTTTTTTTTTTCTTTTTAAATGATGCTTTTGACAATTTTGACAAGTAAATTATTGAAAACTTTATTTTCAATTTTCTAGGTCATTTCTATTATTTATATACTTGTAGATATTATCGAAAGATAACTAAATGCTTCTGTATAACATCATTAGGATTAATGACAAATCTTAATTAATAAATAATTAATATCAATTTTTAAAAAATGTTATTTTAACTGTAATATCGATATTTTACAATTTTTGGAAAAAAAGCTTAGAAAATCTATGTGATGAAATCGAATTTGGAAAATAAGGGAAATTTTTTCGCATTATTTAAATACAATGCTATATTTTTTTAAAAAAAAGAAGAGTTTTAGTTTCCGTTACAATGTTACGATTTCCCAGACATCTGTCAAGACCGGAACAAAAGAAAAATAAAAAAATAAAATAAAAGAACCCATGAGAATTTGGCACAAATTAATTGGCGGAAGCTAATCTTGGTGAAAGTGCAACGATAAAGAATAAGTTCATGACTTTATGATAAATCTTTCAATAATTAATTAATAAAGTCGCGGAAAAAAAGAGCGATTATTTTCAAGCTTCATAAATTAACTTTTCTTTATAAATTAAATATAATTTTCAAATTCAATACCAGATTTAATTTTAAATTAATTAATTTAAATATATGTAATTTTTAAAATAATTTTTCTATTATTAATTACTTATACACTGAAAAAAAAATTTATTTGATTCAAATACTCAATTATACTTGAGTATTATCAAATAAATATTTAGTTGAACCAAATAATTGTTATTTGAATTAAATAAATTTTATTTGAACCAATAATTTCTTTATTTCAAACAAATACCATCTCAAATAATAATTATTTGATACAAATAAATATTTATTTGATAATAGTCAAGTAATCGAGTATTTGAACCAAATAAATTTTTTTTTCAGTGTAGTTTTTAATTAAATTAGAAATTAAATATTATCATCATTATTTGAATCATGAATGAACAGTTGATTGTTAACATTTGACCCTTTAAATGATTGTAAAAGAACTTCTCAATATATTTTGATCTTTGATTAAATGTATACAAGTAATTGAAAACAATGACATTGGTAAAGTTGTGTAAACGGGAAGATTCCTCTGGATCTTTCTTTTTAGGTGAAATGCATGAATGAGTCGACATCTTATTTCTTTTTTTTTTTTCTTTAACGCTTTTAATTACTGTCTGTACTCATTGGAACGGTTCAAAGCATCGTCATGCTTGAAAATTTAAAAAAAAGACTATTATACACCTTTGATTCCTTTTCAATGTAAACTTAATCATTAGAGTTCATCATTAGTTTATTCAATATATAAATTGTAATTAATCTCTTCACTGTAATATTTTATATTGTTATCTAAACGACTACCATAAGTAGGTGTTGTATTTATTATTTATGAAAGACATTCAAATTATTCATCAAGATATTAAAAAGAATTGCAAAATCAAGTCCTAAAGTCAAGATATTTCTCTAAAACAATAGTTCATGACACTGAATATCATTATACGCTTTCTAAGTTTGCTAATTAAAATTTACGTTACGAAGCATCATTGAGAAAACTTCCTTCACCTTCCGATTTGAGAGTACTTTTGAAAATCAAACTCTTAAATTTAAATAATCTTATGCAAGCCACCCAAAAAGATAAAATCCTCCACAAAATTTTTTTTAATGAAACACCAATTTAATTATAAATTAAAATTTAATTTTTTTAATTAAATAAAGAGTCAATTAAAAATTAATCAAATATGAAGAATAAAATTCACACCTTATATAAAAAATATATTATTAAAAAAATAATAATTAAAATAACAAGTTGTAATCGAAACATATAAACAAATCATCAAAGAAATTATAATGATAACTAGTTTTTTTTTACTATAGCAAAGAAAAACATCAAAAAAGAAATGTTAAACGAATTATTTGTTATGGAGGATATGATTTTGGAATTGTATGAAAACAATAGGTGTGCACAGGTTTACGCTTGAAATAATACACCTGGCTGTGATAACCGGATAATGTTGTAACCATCTAATTCAAGGTTTAAAGAGATAATAGAGAAATGCTCACAGTATGATTAAAATTGTGAAATATGAATTTTATTTGAAAAGAAAGTTTCAGAAAAATAACTGAGAATTTACTTTCAATTTTATCTTAATAATTGAGCTTTGTACACTCTGCAATAATTTTTCTAAGATTTTGTTATTTTTGAGAAAATAAATAATATTGTATTTTATTATTCAAAAAATTAAAAAATTTTCATTAAAACTACTTTTATTCGAATAAAAAATGTATTGAAAAAGTAAAATTACTTTGCGAATTTAAATAAAAAGATGAATTTAATTACAGAGAAGGAGGCCGAGATCAACAGAGATGGAGCATGTCACCAGAACTTAGTCGTCTGAATAAGTAAGTGAACAAATTATTGGATTTTGATATTTTAATCACATTACGTGAAATTAGAAATTTCGTGCGACAATAACTAACAACAAAAGAAGTCATGCTACGTGGGAACTAATTATTAAACTCGAAAAAAACGAAATCTGTTTTCGACATGGTTTCGAAAATGTAAAAAATTTCAATTGTGATTAAATAATCAAAGTCAGAATAAATACATTGAATAAAATTCGTACCTTTTCTAACAGATCTATCGAATCGATTTCTGATTAACCGAAAAAAAAATCTCACTAAACACACTGAGAAAAATATTTTCTGAACGAAAACAATACATCATAACCTAAATTTTATGAAATAATTTTTATTACTCCATATAGAATAATTACTAATCGCATGTAATCAATATTTTTTTTTAATTAATTTCCAAATATCTGATGTAAAAAAAGAATTTTAACTCCCAAGGATTCGCTTGTTTTGCCCGGTTTGTTGACTACTTCACATACACTGTGTCTTTTTTTTCCCGACCTAAATTCACTTAATTTTCAATTATTTTTATAAAAATTTAATTTCGCGAATATTTTAATATATTATGTCATGATTAAATTAATAATTTTAAATAAAATCTTTTTCAGTTATAAAAGTTGTTCAATTCAATTTAAAAAAAAAAAAATTATTATTCAAATGGTTAAAACACAAAGAAAATAATATTAATTTTCACAATATTTTCTTAAAATTAACTTATAATTAAAAAATACTTATGATTTTACCTTATTGTTAAAGCTGCAAAAACCTCCACAAGTGATGCTGCACAATGTGTTGAATCCTATTGAAATTTGAATTCCGCAGATATTTTTTCATTCACTCAACACAACCTAAAAATTATTTATCATATTTTAGCTCAATTTTTGTCAAAATAATGCGCGCAACACTAATTTAATAAAGACCGAATGAGAATTTAATACATGCAACTAACAAAAGACAGTAAAAAACACAAAAATTTGATCAAAAGTAAATTCTCAAAGGCCGTATCAGATTTTCGACAATTGACGTTAAGTTAATGCAAAAATTTATATTTCAATTATCAAAATTTATTTCACGGAACTTTATAAGTCTATCAAAACCGATTTTAAGCTTTAAAATAAAAATATTCATCACTTTTTGAAAAAATTGTACGCAGCAACAATGACAACTCTTGCCAATAATTGCAAAACAAGATGGCCGCCAATGCATTGTAGGGGGGTTATGGGTAATTCGAGAATTACCAATAATTTTTTTTTCACGATATAAATAAATTATGTCAAATTAATACTTATAATAAGAAATTAAACGATGTGGGAAAATAATTTTATAAGTAAGAGTGATATTAAACCGTCAAAATATATAAATTTGGTTAAAAAATTTCTCGTCAAATTTTTATCATATTTTCAATAATTATAGTTAAAATAAAAAAGAAATTTACCTTTTGAAAGTCAAAATTGAGTCCGTGCACGTTTATGAGTCGATTGATGATGATTTTTGATTTTGGGAACCGATTATTCCTGAAATTTCACGGAGAGTCACTAACAAACGTCTATGCAAACTTTTGCAATTGCAAAACAAGATGGCCGCCAATGCATTGTAGGGGGGGGGTTATGGGTAATTCAAGAATAACCAATAATTATTTTTTCACGATATATATAAATGTCGTCAAAATAACACGTTTAATAAGAAATTAAATGATGTAGGAAAAGAATTTTATATGTAAGGATGTTATTAAACCGTCAAAATATATAAATTTGGTTAAAAATTTTCTCGACAAGTTTTTATCATATTTTCAATAATTATCGTTAAAATAAGAAAGAAATTTACCTTTTGAATGTTAAAATTGAGTCCGTGCACGTTTATGAGTCGATTGATGATGATTTTTGATTTTGGGAACCGATTATTCATGAAATTTCACGGAGTGTCCCTAACAAACGACTGTGCAAACTTTTGCAATGGAAAAACAAGATGGCGGCCAATGCATTGTCGGGGGGTTATGGGTAATTCATGAGTAACCAATAATTTTTTTTTTCACGATCTATACAAATTTCGTCAAATTAACACGTTTAATAAGAAATTAAATGATGCAGGAAAAGATTTTTATAAGTACCATTGTTATTAAACCGTTAAAATATATAAATTTGGTTAAAAATGCTCTCGTCATGTTCTTATTATATTTTCAACAATTATCGTCAAAATAAAGAAATTTTACCTTTAAATTGTCCAAATTGATTTCCCGCACATTTATGAGCCCAGTGATGATTATTTTAGATTGAGGGAAGGGATTATTCATAAAATTTCGGGAAATTTTACGGAGCGACACTCACCAACGTCCAAGCAAACATTTGCAATAGTAATACAAAATGGCTGCCAATCGCTATAACGGGTAATCAAAACAGTTGGCATAACTGATAACGTGGAAAATTTATATAAAAAAGTGTCTAAATTTTTACGAATTTAATTTCGTTACAGTGATTTATAAAGAGTAGTTAATTTAAATATATTGCCCACACTATTGACATACCTGTAATAAGAAATAATAATGCAAAATTCTAGTAGAAGGTAAATTTTGTGATCGCAGTACACTCAATTTTCACTAATCTGTCAATTACACTTTAATTAATCTAAAAATCTTTGTTAAAATTATTAGAACTAATGTGTATATCTCTTAGTGTTGTGACAACGATTTTAACTTTCTTAAATCAGAGTAATTAATTATTTTTCAGAAAATTAAGTATATTCTTTGATTTACGAAAACAATAACAAACAAATTGCTAATTAATTCTTGCAGAAAAATGTAGATGGCGCTGCAATGTGATTTTAAAAATATTTGAATATTTTAGATTTAAATTTAATTTATTGATTTGATTTAATTAATTAATGTAATTTAAAATTAATTCAAATTCTTGGATTTGATTTTTTAAAAATATTTTTAATAATTTAATATTTTGATTAATTAAATTTTTGTCAAATAGATATAATGAAACTAGAAATTAATTTTTATAATAAAAATGATATATTTATTTTATTTTTGAATAATTTTAATTAACAAATTTTTGTTTTATTTTTTAGCGAAGCGTCTCGAATTAAGGCAATCAGGGCATTTATGGATCGACGAAAAAGTGAAAATGAGTCAAATAATTGTTTACTAATTTCCAATCCAGACAAAGAATTCAATTACAAAACATTTGTTAAAAAAATTAATCAAAGCAAAAATACTAAGGATGTAAATTGCGTGATTCCTGGTGTACCACATGTGAAATTTTCGGAATTTTTTGAAGTCGGATGGGTGGCAGGAACAGAGGATCGTTATTTGGAGTATGTCTATGCCGAATGGGATAACACAAAAGTTTCCCTGAAAAAACACACGCATCCTGATTGCAAAAAAGCAATTAGAGCAGATCTGTCTGTTCTTACGTTAGTAGAAAAAAATATCTATTTTCCATTCTTTTATAAATTTTAATTCAATTAAAATTTAATTTTTATTTTCTTTTTCTAATTATGTCTCTTTTTATTATTTAAAGGGAAATTCGTCATCCTAACATTGTTCTTCTCATAGCAACTTCATTTATAGAAGGTCATGGACTAGTGTCAATTTTCGAATCTTTAAATTGCACTATTTACAATTATGTTCATGAAAAGGAAGAACGAATTTCCGTTCAGGAAACTATCAGATGTATTCGAAAACTCGCCGAAGCTCTTGGATTTGCTCATATGCGAGGATTTATTCACGGTGCTATTAGTTCACATTGTGTTTTTCTGGCATCAGGAATCATCAAATTGGGAGGATGGGAATTAACAACGAAAAAAAATGAGGTGAAATAAAATTCTTTTGTTCGTTGAGAGCATGTATGAAACTTTTGTTTAAAATAATTGGGGAAAAAGTTTCTGAGAAAGTTTCAACTTATTCATTTGTGTCATAAGTAAATTAATGAACTGTATATTAAGAATCAGCAATAATCAGTAAATTAGGGATCATTAATTTTCGCTTAAGAACTAGTCCTGTGTAATTTATTTTTAATAACTGACAAACTTTAGAAACTATTTTTTTTTCAAAGATAAGTTTAAAAAATTAAATGGTAAAATTTAAAGTTTTTTTTTTAAATATTTAAAAATATTAAAATAGTTGCGATTTACTTTTTATACGAATTTATAAACTTTACACTCCTTGCGGAATAACATTCCAGAGCATACAGGAAATTAGAGGTGGCATTGTGCATTATTGCCAACAAAGTATTCAATTCAGAATAATAGAATCGTTTTAACAAAGTCAACAATATAACACTTTTTTTTTCATGGGTGCGGATCCCTTCAGGCGCAACCAAGTTGACGATTCATTAGCGATACTCTACATAATTTTATTTATGTTGAAAAAAACGCATTCACCTCTTCCGCCATCATACAATTCATTATGTTTTGCATAATGTTCACATTCATTAATTTATAATAGAATTAAAAAATAATTTCTAAACTTAGTTTTTAATCCGGAAATTTATCTCCCTATTTTGAAATTAGTAAAAATCTTTACTTAAAATGCTTTTAACTTTGTAGCCAAAAGAAGATCAGGAATTTGAAAATCTCCTCAGAGCTGAAATTTTCAGATGGCAAGCGCCTGAATTATTTAGTGGTCAAATTCCAACAGAGGCCACCGACGTATATGGACTTTCTCTATTAATATGGGAAATGACAACAAGTGAGTAATTTGGAAATTTATTTATTTAATTTAATTAAATTACTTTTCTAATTTTACAAAAAAATTAACAGTGCAATTGCCGTGGAATGGATTAATAAAAACGGACATTGAGAAACAATACATGCACTGGAAGCAGGGAATTCCGATAGATCTCTACAATTTTCCATCATTGCTCAGCAAATTATTGGAAACTGGACTTGAAATCGATGTTACAAAAAGAACTTCATCCATGAATCAAATGCACAAAATGCTACAGAGAGTTGAGGTAAATAATAAAAATGTTTTCAAAAAAAAAAAAAAAAAATTAAAACCTAATTGGAAAGCTAAATAATAACTTTTAAAATTTTATTATTTAATTTTACAGTTGCAATATGAGTCTGAAGCTCCAATTTACGCCGATCAATTAGCAATGAACAATAATACGCCAAATATAAAAACATTTAATCTACCAGATAATAATACACCAGTAAAAAAATGTTCTGCGAGTTCTTCAGCATCGTCATCTTCATCAGACAATCGTCAATCAATTACAAGAACACCAGTTGTCAATCAAAATAATCTTAACAAAAAAGTGAGAAGATCAAATTCAAAACGAGATTCGATTGTCAATGAAAGTGAGAAAAAAACCGAGAGTAATGATTCCGTCTATAATATTAAAAAATGTATTGAATTATTTTTGGAAATGGAACGATTACATACTAGTATTGAAACGCAAGAGGATCTGTGGGTATTGTATAATTATTATGAACAACAAAAGCAAAATTCTGAAACACAAAGTTCAATCATAAGTATTGTGAATGAATCAGAGAAAAGTAATTCCACAAGTGAGGAGCGTATTTCTAGTATTATTTATGGTTCCACATCATCGAGAACAATAGAATCGTCTGATGATGATTTTAATGAGACTCGAAATGACATTAAAAAATTAAAAGAATCATTGGCAAATAAACGAGAACTTTTCTTCTACGGTGATAATTGTCAGCAATCTAACACAAGTAAGTTCACAAAGAAAAAATTTATTTATCCAAAAATTCATACATTTTTTTTATATGTAAATTATTTTTTAGGTATCGAGAACAAAAATATAGAACTCAATACTGTCAAGAATAAAAGTTATGAACCACATAAGCCTGCTAGTCATAAAACGAGTTTCGAACCAAAATTACACAAAACTTTACAGCCAGAATTAATATTAACTAAACCAATTAAAGACAAAGAGAATACAGTGAGTTAAATAGAATTATTAAAAATAGAAATTAAAAAATTCAATTAACTTATAATAATTACTATAATTTGTAATTGCAGTTTGATCATTCTTGTATCTCATCAATAATTAAAGATGCTGTTATTAATCCACAACTCGTGAATGCTAATCACGATAATGTTTTTGAATCGTCACTATGGAGAAAAGAAAAAATGATTGTCATGTCGAAAATGAGAAAAAGTTTTACCGATAATAATATGGTTTGTTACTTTATTAATTTTAATTAACTAATTAGTTTGCGTCTTTTAAATACAATTTTACTAAAAATTGAATTATCTTTCAGGTCACCTATTCTCAAGATTTGAAACGCGAAATCTCGCAAAATGATGAAAAAAATTCGAAATCCATGGAAAATAACACCTTCATTATAAATGGTATATATTTACTTATATAAATTCATTAGAAACAAAAAATAGTAAAAAAATTATATTTCAATTTTAAAATAATTTTCCTTTACAGATGCATCAATTCAAAAACTCCAATCAAATTTTGACACAAATAACTTTAAATCATCATTAGAACATAAAATTGACGAACATATCTTTAAAGTACCAGAACTTCCAAAAAATATTACGAAAAAAATTAAAAATATTGAAAAATCAGAACAGAAATTAGAATCGAAACTTAATGAAAACATTTTTGAAATAACAAATGAAAAATATGACAAAAACATATCTAAATTATCCGAGGATAGTCAAAGTGAAAGGAAAATTGTAAACGACTATCATGATCAAAAATTTGTCAACAACTACAACATGGATTTACTCAATGAAAGATTCATTGAAGACATTACTTTAGACGAATCTGATAAGAAATTAATTAATAAAAATAACGATTTAAATAAATCCATTGAGAAATTCACCGACGAAATCACTTTACCAACGATCAATAATCAATTTTCTCACAACTATCAAGATTCTGATAATAAATCATTAAAAGCATTGAAACAAGCTTTAGATCGTGCCACAGAAATAATTTGTCCATCTGTTGAAAATTCATTACGTTTATCATCGCACAAGACATTTGATGATTGTCAATTGACAAATGAAGATATGGAAAAACGTGAAACTTTATTTGAAAATGTTGCATTTAATATTCACAATAATGATCCAGAATCTGAGATTAAAAGTATTGAGAAATATGATTATCGAGAAAATCAATCGAATACATATAAAATAAAAAGACCAAATGCATTTAATTTGAGTGAATTAAGATCAACATGTGATGGTGAATTTGAACATACCTTAAATACTGATGAGGAAAAAGAAAATGATGATAATTTGACATTATTGCTCTTTAGCGGTAAAAATCAAGATAAAGAATGTAATTCTTGCCATCACACAACAGCACTAGCAAGAAGAAGATCTTTACCCGCTGCTTTAGGACAATTAAAAGCATACACAAAAATGCCCGCTGGAAAATTATCAACACTAAAGGCTGTAAGTTGAAAAAATCATTAATCGATAAATACAAAAATTAAATTATACATAACAATTGAATATATTTTTCATAATCTGAAAAAATTAATGTCAATCAATATTATAATAATATGACAATTGCTTTATAATAAAAAAAATGTTTTTAATTAAATAAGTAATTAATACGAAAAATTTCTTTCTAATAGTCAAATTATTTGTTCATTTTTCAGAATCCTTCAGACACCACATTTGAGGATTTGTACATTGACGACGAGTTTGGCGAAAGTCTCAACGTAAATATGGTCCTTTTGGAAAATGAAAATCTCCTCGACCAGGATATTCTGCCAGATTTATTAGAGTTATCGCATAATTCCTTATTTAATCGATAAAATTATTAATTGATAAAAAAGAAACTCCATTATTATTTATTATTTCTTTTGTTTTTTTTTTTGTTGAGAAATTGTGATTTACAAGACGAGTAATGTCTTAATTAATTCCAAAAAAAAATTTGGAAACAAATTTTGTGAGCAATGATAAAAAGAGAATGAAAGAAGTTCTTATTTAAAAGTAATTGAGTCAGTTACCATTATTTATTTTTTAATTTTATACTATCCATTTATATATGATGTAATTTTATACAAAAAAAAAGCTTTTTATAATTTAAGAAAATTCCTTTTTTATAACTGACTTAAGTTACATTTAATTTTCAACTTTATTTATTTTAAAAGAAAAAACAAAAGAAAGAACATATTTTCTATTGTAAGAATTTATAAATGATTAAATAAAATCATATAATTTCATTTAATTAAAAAACTAAAAATTTTATGATAGTGAACTATTTTTTATGCAATATAAAAATGTTATTAGGAAATGAAAAATAATTCCTTCGAAAATGCTCCAAGATAATCGGCAAAAAAATTGAGACAGTAATAAACTGTAACGATTTAGTTGCGAAATATTAAATATCAACTAAATTATTCTGATTGTGCAACAGTAAATAAAAGTGTACTTTTAAAATAATAATAAACTCCGCTTTTCATTTTTCAAAAACAAAGGGATCATGGTTTCAAATGTTCAATATACTATTATTAACGTTTTATCTAGAAATATTTATTTGCAATTTAAAGAAAAACTTTGAAAGAATAAAATTGTGCTATTAATTAATTTGATTAATCTTATAACAATATTAATCACTTAATTACATTATTATTAAATTGCAATTAATAACTATTACATTATCATTTTATTTATAAAATTCATTTATTTTAATCGTTTAATTAAGCGCACGAAAAATATGAATGATAAGAATATAAACTTTCATTCATTTCTTTTTTTTTTTCTTTCTATTACATATAAGCAAAGACCAGAAAGTTAATTTATTTTTTCTCATTAAATAATATTTTGTTATCATTTACATAATTTAACATTTGTTGCAAAAGCTGAATAAAAAAAAAAATTATTTTCAAAAATCAATCGTCATTGATTAAAAAATTCTTTTAAAACTTCAAATTCACAATTAGCTGTTGGTCTTTGTAATTTTGAGTTTCTTTTATCAAGGGCACCATTGTTTTTTTTTTTTTGGATCTTGCCTGAATTAGATCTGTATAATTAACAAATACCTAGATTGAGAGACCGAACACGGAGACGATGCAGTACATAGATTTATTTTCCCAACGAACTGTGCAACTTCCATCAGTGGCATTGTCCCAATAACAAGAACTCGCTGTATGTAATCCAGCTCCATTTTTCTGCATTATCGTACACGTGACTAGAAAATATAATTACAATATTTTAAATAAAATTATTAGAAATTAGTTATTAGTTTAAAAACAATTATTATTTATCAAAACAATAATAGTCCCATTAGAAATGAAAGAAATATTTAAAATAGTTTCGCAAACTCTTTAATTATTAAATGCCTTTATAAAAGCAAAATTTTTTAATATACTCCTAATAATTAAACCAAAATAATAATTACCTATATATTTATAAGCTTTCTGTAGTTTTGTAAGATTTCCCAAACAAGCCTCGACAACATTCGACGTCCATTGATTAACTCTGTTGTGCATATAAGCATTTCCTCCAATTGATACCTCAATTGCTTCCTTAATAATTTTACTCACATCGTCGACTACAAATTGTGTCTGAAATTAATTTTTTTTTTTTTTTTAATTGTAAATTTTATTAAAGAACGTTATTAACAAAATTTTTCTTTTCTATACACTAACCTCTTCGTTCATATCCTCCATTTGGACAAAATTTTTATATAACACAATATCACAATTTAATTTAAATTAAAAGAAAGTTTTATGAATTAAAGAAAACGTTGTACACAAGAGGCGACAAAATTCCTTATAACCTGACAAACTCTGAAAACAATGGAATTTCTAATTTATTACTTGAAATTGTATACTTTTCAACAATTGTTTTTCGTTAATGTGATATTTAAGAAGAAAATTTTCTGTTATTTAATTTCAGGAGTGTTATTTATTACAATAAAAATTAAAAATTAACACCTTGACATTTACATTTGTTTTCAAGATTTGACACAACATAAATTTGACACTGATATGGTTAAAATTGACCTTGAATTATAAAATATTATATAGATATGAGAAATCTTCATTTTTTTTCCACTTTATCGACTCAAGAGTGAAACATAAAAGGGTTCTTAAACCCTAATAGTTTTAAATGTTTGATTAAATGTTTAAATAAATATTTAAATTAATTAAAATTGTAATTTTTAACAAGTTTTGACATTAGAAAACAAAAAATTGTTTAAAAAAAATGTTTTTTAATAGGACTTATTTATAAAATCCCGCCTTTGTAAAAGCGTGCTCTTTTGGGATAATACTCAAATAATTCAACAACATAACCTAAAATTTCTAGTACTACAATCCAAACATTAAGAAATTAATTCACTTTAATTAAATAATTAAACATCTAGTGAAAAATTTCATAAATAATTAAATAGTGAACATTATTATTTATTAAATTTTCAAAATAAAATAAATAATGTTAATTCGAAAATTATTTCGTTCCATTGAAAAAAATGATATAAATCATTTAAAATATAATCCTGTGATTTCTAGATATTTCTGTATTGATTTAGATCAGACACCAGTGAAACGTCAAATAAGAAAATTACGAAAATGGCAAAAAGAGCCTGAAAAAGAGATGAAAAGTTTTTTTGGCCTATTCGATAGAACACAAGCACCAGGAGTTACTAAAGAACATAGAAAGGCATTTCGAGACACAAGTTTTTGGAATCCAATACGAGGTGAAGAAATTGATACATCAATTCAAGCTATAAAAGAAGATTATTATTATACGGAGAAATTAGTAGAAAAAGAAAATCAAAAATATATACCCGAACGACTTAATATTTTGGGTAGTGATTTGGCGGTTGCTCACTTTTTAATTCATCGTGGTGGAAAAGTGAAATTTCGAAATAATGACAATTGGTTTGAAATGATTAATAATAAACCACCGAATTTACCTGCTAAATTTGATCCAAAATATATTATTTCTGCTGTTGATTGTTCCAATATGAAACTCTACTACGAGGGTCTTCTTAATTTTGAAAATCTCACACGTGCCAAATGGGCAAGTTTTCGGAATAATCAAGTTTTTGACGAATGGTGTTTAGATCGTATTGTTGGACAAATGCCCTGCTTAGAATATTTGGATGTATCCAATTGTCCAAACCTTAATGAACGTGGACTTGAGGCATTGTACAAACTCTTCTATCTTAAAAAATTAATTGTTACTAATTACGATGAATCTGTAGCCTTTGAATTGACATGCTTGATGTTGGAGGATTGTAATCCAAATTTAAATTGTATAATTCTTAAACCTGGAGAAACTTACACGGAAAAAGTAGAAACAAATAAAATAGAAACAGAAAATAAAACTTAAAATGTATGTAATTTAAATTTTGTCAATTTCAAAATAGAATGATAATGTATAATAGTGTATTTGTAAATCATTTAATTACATTTACGTTAATAGAAATTGTTGTTACCTTTTTTTTATCTTGAAATCATATGCTTATTCCTTCGCTTTTTAACATAACACAGTTCAGCCTTATTGTGTAGTCCGTATGCTTTTATGTTCTCATTGTCATTCACTAGATGAGTACCATTAAAACTAAGATAATATTTTTTCCAAATGTGTTTCCAACTTATTTGTTTCTTTATATTTTCTCTTCGTAAAGCTAAATTTGTGTCTCGTTTTACAGCTCTTTTTAAATCATGAACTGTTGTATTATGTGGTGATACCTGTAACATAATTTGTTTTTAAAATAAATATATTTAAATTAAAAAAAAAAAATTATGATTATTACTTGTTTTCAATTATTTGAAAGAAAATAGTAAAACTTACTACTACTCCTAGTGTTGGTAAATCTCCACGATTTAAATATAAAGTTATTGCTTGTCCCTGAGCAACTGCTGTCTGAGCTTTTATTTCTTCCAAAGTTGCATCTTGTGGTAATTCACTAAAAAGAGGATCACTTTCAATTATCTTGCTAATTGCGTCCTTGGTTAATTTCACTAATTCCTGATGGGAAAACGTAACATTTTCCAATGTGTCACTTTCCTTTTTTGATGAATCTAGATCAATTTCAATGTTTTCTTTCACATCGAGACTCATAATTTGTAGTCTAATTGAAAAAAAAATTAATTGTATGAAATAATTCCCAGAGCCTGCAAAAATATTTGTTTACATTTATAGGTTATGTATGTGAAATGTTTGGAATTTAATGTAATTTTTCTTAAATTATTATTTACAATATGTTAAAAATTTATCTGGACACTACCAATAAATTAAGAATAAACATAGAGTAGTATTTTATAGTTTTTTAAATTAATTTCGCATTTAATTGACGTGCGGCGATTGATAAACAAACCGAACTTTGACGAAACTGCGAAATCGACTTCGGACAATTTCGTTGTGTCATTGCGCATGCGGTCAATGTTGGCGCATTTTTTTTAAAAAAATAAAATTGATATTTGCTCCAAAAAAAAATAAGTTTTAGAAAATAAAAAAAATATTGTACAATTTAAAGTGACTTCATGTTAATTAAAATTTTTCTCCCATCATTGTTGGAATAAAAAAACAAATTTACATTTGTGTACAAAGATATATTTTATTTTCTATAACAACTGTAAAATTTGGCTGTTCACAGCCAAATAAAATTGCACTACATGTCGACTACGTTTGCAAACTGTGCTTTTGGATATTTCTCGATTAACAGCTGTTATTATAATAAAAGAAGCCGTAAAAAATAAAAATCATAAAATTTTACAGAAATATATTAATAAAATATATATTTTTTTTATTGTATTATTTAATGATGATCAGGATTTTCATTGAATAAACTGCCACACAGCATAGCTTGCAAATGGAGACATCGAAAACAACTTTTTAATATTGAATTCTTCGATTGCCTGAAGATAACATAATAACGATCTTAAACATATGTCAGTCTACAAAGTTATACTAAGAGTGTAAAAGGTTCTCATATTTATTTAGTAGTCGCAATAACAATCAATAACGTCTTTCATGCATTCACAAAAAAAAAAAAAAAATTGAAAAAAAAATCCGGGCGCTTATAAATATGTACATCACTATTCGATCAAAATTTGTTTTACCAACACACACATTCATAGCTTTTGAGAAAAATTTCTTTTCCTCTCATTTTATTTTAATTTGTAAAAATAGTCTTCCAAAATAAAATGGTAAAACGAACTTTTTTTTTCATTTCTGATGTATATAATTTTTTCGCGAAACAATATTGTATGTGTAAGGATCGTGAAAAAGAAAAATAATTACAAAAGCTGTAAGAAAATTTGTATATTACTTTCTAACTCGGTGCGATTTCATTTGTTTTAATTCTAATTTATTGTCTACATTTTACTAAGCTCTCACGCCCTTCAGACATGCGCTACTTGACAAATTTTGTCTTCAACGACCTGCTAAAATATTCTTTTCAAGAATTGAAAAAAAAAACAACAGATCTGGTGCAGTCGTGTTTTTTTTTGTTTTTTGTCTTGTTTCTTCAAGCGTATTGGAAGCATCAATTATTTACATGGCTTCTTATAAATTGTTTATGTCTATTATTAAAAATCACTGAGATCCAAAGTCGATTGAGATCTGTACTACGTATATATATATATATATATATATAAAAATCGACCTCGGGAAATATAAATCAATTAATATTTCCCTTTTTAATGTGCTTTGAGGCTCGAGTACTAGATAAACTAAATTGTTTTCTGACTCACTTCTTCGTTATTTTGTTGATAACGTTTGCTACAAAATTTTGTGATGTTTTTCAATTGAAATTCCAACACGACATTCTTTTCCTTCATAGCGACTTTGTAAGATTGTTAAACAATCTTTTACCCCACCACGACTCCAAATCGAATGGTTTAAAATCTACAATATTAATAAATAATAAATTAATATTAATATAATCAGTTTTATATATTTATTTCCATTATAGACACTATAAAAAAGGTATAACGTTGTGAAATTTAAAATAAATAAAATACAAACAGAATTAATTACAATAATTTATTATCTTACCCTGCAAAATGTCGTTTGGTTCACCATCATTGTAGTACACTATCGAATTTGAACCTGTTTTTAAGAAATTTTACGTTAAAAAAATAAATTGATTTAAATTAGAAATATTTTTATTATTTAAAGTAAACATTTTTAATATTTCAAATTAAAAGTTAGTTTTATTTATCCTAAAATTTGAAAACTTTTTAATTAAATTTGAAATTTAATTTTTCCAAAAATTAGAAATCTTGATTTCGAAAGATTTTACTCACTGGAAAGCTCAGGGCATTCGGAACCGTTAGACGACAAATTCCTTTGTCTGACGTTTACTTGGCTCCATGCTGCAATAGAAAAAAAATTTAGAACAAAATTTTATTGTATTTTTTTTAAGAAAAAAAGGAAAAAAATGTAATGAAAATGTGCCTTAAAAATCGAATATTCTAATTACAAATGCTAATTAATTATTCGCTCGCCCTAAAAGTTGAACAAATCACCGTGACTCAGGAGTTCAAAGTACAAAAGCTTATAACCATTACACAAAGTCTTCCCTAAGATATTTTTTTTTTTTTTTGAAAACTTACATTCGTAAACAAATTTGATGAGTTCTTCATGTTGAGGAGTAATCACTTCTTGAATTTGATGCCTTTGTGAATTTAATTTTGATTTTCCATTCATGTGAAAAACCGGTTTTGGCACATGACTGCAAATAATTTTATTATTTTATTTACTATAAAATAATTTACATTATTATTAATTCAATGTTAAACTTGGAATATAAAAAAATATTTACAATTTTGAAAAAAAATCAACAATCATCACTCATAGATTTTCCATAAACTAATTCTTTAACAATTTACAGATTTTTAAAAATCAAGAAATATGAAAGTCATGTTGGCTTGATTTTCATACGCAAAGGTCGTTTAAATAAAAAAAAAAAAAAGAGAGAACTTAATTTTTAAAACATTTTGCTCTTTGAATAAAAAATTTTGTCAAATAAAAAAGTCTTTTTTTTTAAATAAACATTAGAAGTATAAAAAAATTTATATTTTTCCATAGAAAGGTTTTTCAACTTTCAAATGAGAGACAATTCGATAAGAGAGAAATATATGTGTAAAAACAAACTTATCAATTGATAAGATCAATTTTCTCCACGAGGTTACGAAAAATACTTGGGTAAAAGTGAGGTTAAGAATAGAAAATATATAATAATTTTTTTTACCGGATAATATCCTGATCATCATCAGGATCTGGTTTTCTCGTAAGATCTCTTAATGTTTCTAATCGTTCAAGATTTTGATTTATTCCTAAAAAGAAAATAATTACTTTTTATACATTTTGCCTATACAATTTTATATTCTTTTTTTTTCTATTACAAATCTTGAACAGATCAACTATATAACTACGGTTAAAGATTTCATCATACTCAAAAAAAAAAATTGCTTACCTCTTCGTGTTTTTGCTACAATTTTACTTGGACCTTTTGATACTGTGTACATGATTTTTCCAAATTGTAATGTTAAAAAAAAAAAATGGTTAAGAAACTTTTCAAAAATTACAAAATAAACTTGAACTACAATTCAAGACTGCTCACATGCTACTAAATGCATATGAATGAGAGAATTTTTTCGGAGCACGTGAGTGAGCGATTTTCCTCACTCGTAAAAGAAGGAATTTCAGTTTTCGACATTAAACAATACAATCAATTTGTGATAATAGATCAATTTAAAAATTTTGATTTAATGTAAATTATCCTTCTAATAACATAACCACTTTGAAAAAACAAAATTTTACATAACAAAACAATTTTTTAAAAAATTGTTTATAAATATTTTTGTAATTATAAACATTATGAAAAATTAAATAATTAAAGTAGATGTAATTAGAATAAATAATTATATAATTAAAATATCAGAGACTGCAAAAGATTAAACATTTAAAAAAAATTTGTTCTGTTTAAAAAAAATAGTTATTTATTATGAAATTTTCTAAAATTGTTAGGTTAGGTTCGTCATCAAAACCGGCCTTTAAATTTAGTTACGCATTTTTCCAGATGGCAATTAAATCGTTGTTTGTAACTGACAGTTTGTTTTTGATGCTGGTTTCGGTTGTTGTTTTTTTTTAAATGTAGTTGTATTAGTTTTGTTTATTATTTTTTTAAACCATGGATGAAGAACAAAATGACACGCTTGGAAGAACATTTATGAGTACTATATTTACAAATACAAAGAAAACTAGACAATTTTTTAGTTTTCGAGAAGATCAAGATGAACCTGTAGAATATGACGAGACTTTCGAACGTATGTTTGTTTATATTTCTTAAAGAAAATTATCACTTTTCATGACTTAAAATATATTATTGGTAAAGTGAAATCTATTCTATATTATATCGTTAAAATTTTTTATATTTGCATTCATATTAAACGCATTCAATTTGAATATTATTTAAAGTTGTAAAATTGATTATGCAAAGGCTAATAAAAATCTATTGAAGTAGAATAATTAAAAAAAATAGAAATATAAAGATTGAAAATCGTTTATAAATATAAATATGATTATTGTAAAGTGAAATTATAATTGAAATTGTTTTAGAATTGATGAAACAAACATGGACAATGTGGGGAGTGTCTTCTTTATTTGATTTTGAATATAATGATGAGGTAAAAATGAAATTATACGCTAAAAAATTACGAGAAGAAGTATCACGTTCATTATTAAAAGAAAATGTCTCCTACACTGCAAAATTTACATTAATGGATGATTTGGGACCAAAACCAAGTCCTAATGATGTTCCTGCTGTTCGGGTAATAACAAATTTTGACAATTTTTAAAAAAATTATTTAAGAATTATTAAAATAAAAGTTCTAGGAGAAAATTAATTTTTTTTTTTTAAACTTTTAGATAGAATTATTCGCCACCTTGGGAACAGTAGAAACACGTGTTTACATGGGATTTTTAATTTCATGGCGAACTAATTCAGTTGAATTAATATTTGACAATTGTGTATGTTTACCATTACTTTTATGTAAAGGCACTCAAAGTACAATAAAAGCTGTTCATTCGGTTTTACAACGAATGTTTAATTGTATTGTTACTGGACTTTCAATTAGTGATAATGATCTTAAATGGCTTACTGCAATTAATTTAAGTGCTGAAGCTTCGAAAGGAAAATCAAAAGATGATTTAATAGTATTTGAATACGTAGTGCCGAGATTATCACTCACAGACACTATAAAAATTAATTTTGTCTACAAGGATTTAAGAAAACTATGGTCACAGTACGTTTTATTATTATAATAATATTAACAATTTAGAAGAAAAGTTTTTAATGGAAATTATTTTTTAATTTTCAGCGTCTGCATAACTAATGACGAGGGAAGTAAACAAACTATTCGAATAGAAAATGTGGAAAAACTTTTTAAAATTATTGACAGACAAATGTATGATTTGTCTGGTTTAAATTTAGGACTATGTAGACTCAATAAAATTAGTCTACCATCTTTTTCAATTGCAGGAAATAGAGTATGTATAATTTAAAAGAATTTTTAAATTTCATAAAAAAATAAAATAAAACTTACGTGAATTGAAGCATTTCTGAACTCTTAATTTTTGTTTACAGATGAAAGTAACGAATCCAGAAACTCTTAATAACATATTGTTATTTTTAAATGAAATTGCAATGGAAATTGTTAATATCAATTCTAGTAATTCTAGTAATACGTCATTAGCAAGTGATGTACGATGAATTTAAATGTCTTTCTTCGTTATTTAATTTCTATCCTTGTTTATATTAATTATTCAAATCAAATTGATTTTTACATCCAAATTAATATTTGAAGTTTTTTTTTATGTAAACGTAGTTTTTTTTTTATTTATTACGTTTTTTGTAATTCCATAAAACACTTGGTAGTTCATTTTGTTTTAAATGTTGTAACACAAAATATAAATATACTTCTTCCAAAAAAACAAATAAAAAATCGTCGAAAAATAAAATAATTATACATCTATGAAGTTTCATCGGAAACGGTCTCCATCTGAAAATAGAAGAGTTATATTAATTAAAAGAAGTAAAATAATTATAAATATAAAATATTATCGGAAAAAAGAACTTACAAGATCACAAGTTTTTTTCTTTTTTGAAATATAATGCTCTAGGTCAATGTATCCATTTGGTTTTTCGCTCATTGAGGAGGGTACAGAAATACCTAAAATTTCTGGTAACATAAAGGGTTTAAGCCACGTTACAAGTGGAGTTCGTCCATGTGTATAATCTGCTTCACGATGAAAAAATAAAATTCCATCTAAAGACATTGGTGGTAAATTTTCTAAAATGGAACACAAATCAGTGTCACAGAATGCTCTTTGTAAAGGTAAAATTGGAAAATTATTTATCAAATTTTTCTCTTCTAATTCCTTTATTTCACCCAATTGACGTTGTAGCCAATAAAACCTAAATTCCGTCTGAAATAAATTATAAACGTAATTATTTTATATTAATAAAAAAAAAATGGTTAATTTGTTAATTAAATGAAATTACATCACAATTTGTAAGTGGATAATCGGACCATGCTAAAATATCCATAACGTAATATTTTTTCTCCCGTGGCTGCCAAATACAATCTAACATAGAGCAACTACTTTTATAATCTTCCGAAGAACCACCGGGAAGAGCTGAACTGAAAGTTGCCATTATTCTGCCACGTCTATTGTATGCTTTAGTTTTACCCTGTATAAAATTAAAAATTAATTTATCTTAAAAGTTCTTCTTCTTCAAAAGAAAGAATACTTTTTTTGCAATTTTGTTCATTAAATCAAAATTTTTACTTTTCGAGCGACTAGGAGAATTCTTCGACCTTCTGGACAAGGAACCATTATCCATTTGTCTATAAAATCTTCAGGAACTTCTAACAACCATTCTGATAACATTAAATGATTTTCATAAAATTTATGGCGATATTTAAAAAATTTCCTCTTTCCTTTCTTAATATCAACGTCCATTTCTTCTACTGCTTCTTCTTCATCTTCAGAATTGTAGCCATCAGGTAAAATTCCTCTAGTACTATTATAACCAGACTCTCGATTCCTATAAATATGTACTTTTAATGTAGTATATAAAATTAAAAATAATAAATTTAAAAACTAACCGTTTCTGCTGATCGAGAAATTTTTGTCGCCTTATTTCCTGTGGTGAATCATCGTAATCTATTTCTAATTTAAAATTATTTCTACTTATCGGCTTCTTATAAAATAATGATCGATGATTTCCATTTTGTGTTTCTTTTGGACAATCAATACACTCAGCCATTGTTTATTTCTATTTCGTCAATTATTAAAATAATCACCTGTAATTTTAATAGAATATTAATTTAATAATGAGTAGAAAAAGAACTATTACTTGGTTTCAATAATAAAAAATTAGGTATAAGAAATATGTTAACGTGATAAAAGTGAGGTTAGAAAAATGAGACAACACAATTTATACAATTATTTAACTAAATTATGTAAATTTGAGTGATAGTTACTAAAATGATAAAAAATAAAACAAAACTTACAATATTTATGTCCTTGCTATAAATTTGATGACATGTCAATAACTGTCAATTAATTTACCATTTTTAAATACAACGAATCATTTTGTTTGCTATAGAAGTGTAAAATTCAAAAACCATGAAATTACACTATTTAGTATATATTAATTATTCACAATCATTAAGTTCCTATAACGTCTCTGTATTTGTAAACACTGTGAATGACAGTTCGAACAGAACCTAAAAATAGTGTCGATAATGTCACTTCACTACCTCAACATAATTAATCGGTAAAGAAGGAAAATGTTTTCCGATATATTATTTTTCAAAATAATTACATATTTATTTATCTAATTATATAATTTTTAATTTGAATTATAATATGTAACGTATTATAATGTGTAATATTGTATTTTAAATTTATCATATGTATTATTTAAGGAAAATATATCCAATTCTTAAATTACATTTGTGTACATCAGGTTGCATACCGTTAAGGGAAAATTAAATTTAAATATTGAAAAACAAAAAAAATGTAATATAAATTAGAGTTGACATTTATTACGTTTGCCATTAAAAACGATAACACATTTTCTTACAGAATAAAAACTTGTTTCGAATATTTCAATTATATTTTTTCTCTGCAAGTTTCAGTTACATAATATATACCTTAAATTGGTTTAATGCTACATCTGCAATGTTTTTTTTTTTTTTTGTCTTTCAGAAAGGTGCTTGTAACATTCGAAAATTATTCTTGTGCAATTTTCAGCACTCATAAAATGTCGATATTAATGAATAATAATGTTGTAAAAACGTACATATAATATAAAAAAAAAATATATAAATTCACAATTAATTTTACCAAAAAAATGATTTTTTTTATTAATATATTAATTGGTAAATTAAAATTACTTTATTAAAATAATTGATTTTATGAGAATTAGTTATTATTTTGTATATTTAAATTTAAATATTTTATCAAAAAATAAAAAATTTTTTGGAAAATATTTATTTAATTTATTTTTTAATTTTATGATAAAAAAATATGTACTTACAATGTATTTGAACGTTATGTTTATTAAATTTCCAGTCAGATAGCTGTTATTATTGTCAGAATTATAATTAGTTTTGACATGATGTTAATGAGTCAGCTTCATTTATAATTAGACACGTTTACTGGTTAAATTCGTATTTATAAAAGAAAAACATGTCTGGTAAAGCACACTCACCTCAATGATCTTTGCATATTTTCACTTTTTTTTTTTTTTTTTGGTTCACCTCTTACTTAATTGAACAAAATTTAATTATTATTTATTTTTATTAATTTTTATTTATAATTTTTTTTTTTTAATAGAACAACAAGATTGAATTTATTAATTTTTAAAAAAAGAGTTATTGCTTTTAAATTTCAAATGTTTACGACTATGAACATTAAAGATGAATAGTATAATTTTTTTTTTTTCCTTTTTTTCAAAAGTAGACAGTTTTGATTTTCATCTGGAATTTCAACCTTTCACGGGTATTTGCTCTTATTCGTCCTTGAGTTGTATATATATAAAAGCAAATATTAAATCTAACAAGGACGGCCAGTGCCCGGTAATTTGTATACATTCTCCTATAAAAAGTTTTTTTTATATATATATAGCTTATCAGAAATAAAATGTAATTAATTCAAGAATATGTTGCGATTTTTCAAATTCTAAAAATAATAATAATTAGCTAAATAATTAATAATTAATAAATAATAATTAGTAATAATAATTAATATTTAATTATAATTTCAATTTTTAAATTTATAACGAATAAACTAGAAAAACAATTGTATTTCAAAATTTTTTTTTATATAAGTTTGTCTGCTTTTAGTTTCAAAATACGAAAGTTTAGAGTCACGCAAATTTAATTTTTTCTATACATCGTACTCTTCAGCGTGATAAGAATCTTCAATAAAGTTTTTTTTTGACACATAAATTTGGAAATAGGTGTTGAGATTTTAAAATTTTTGGAAATTTGTAAATAATAGTTAAATAATAATAATAATAATAATAATAATAATAATAATAATAATAATAATAATAATAATAATAAAAATAGTAATAAAAAATAATAATAATAATAGTAGTTTGGATATGATAGATATTTTCCAAATAAAAAATCAATTGGAAAATAATTATTAATTAAATTTGTATAAATAATTTCTATGAATGGAAATGGAATATAAATGATTTTATTATAATTCAAATGATACAAATTTAAACGTTAACAATAATGATAAATTATTTAATATATTTTGTACGTGAAAGCTAAAATACTATATGTTCATTATTACGTGATACAGTCGTGGATCATATATCATTTTACCCTGCTTCCGCAAAGAACAATGGACCGTTTAATGTTAAAGATTGTATTTGGAATTTACAAGTGTAATTTCCTTGTTTTTTTTTCCTTCATTTTTTTTTTTATTCACATAAATATTTTAATTTTCAACATTATTTTTGAAATTTATTGAAATATTAATTAGATAAACTAATAATAATTAATTAATACAAAATTAGATTAAGAGAAAATAATATTTCAAATGTCAAAATTTTTTTTTTATTATATTTTTATTATTTACAATGAATTATTTTTAAAAAATTAAAATACATAATTTCATATGTGTGTAATATACGTTAATAAAAAATAAATCTTTTATGAAAGGAATTTCATTTATTATATATAGAAATAGGTCCTTCAAAATTTTATGAACTTAGAATTGAAGGTGGTAAATTTTTGATTATATAATTCGAAAGGTAAATGCACGAGGATCGTGTCTATTATATACCATTGAGCACGATGTGAATATAAATCGACTTTTGATCATAATCTGGACGTGTACAGTTCTAAAGTGACATCAACTGGGATATTTTCAATCAATCAATTTCACTTTCATTGAAATATATCGCGTTTATAAATGAATCACTTTTACCAAAAAAATTGTTCACGCGCGATTTTTGTTTTTTTTTTTTTTTTTTTTTTTTTAATGAGAGACTACCCAATTAAATTCTTTCACCCACCGAGTTGCATCCATAAAAATGTCAAAAAAAAAAAAAAGAAATCGAGAGCATGTGCTCTATAATTGTTAAAATTAAACACCATATTACATAACTTTTTAGTGTGAATTCAATCAGTTTAAATCTAAAGAATCGACCTTCTCGACGCGGCTTAAATTCACATTCGCCCAACTGATTTTTTGCCATCGGCAAATTTTTTCTTTTTGTTGAATTAAAAAAAAAAAAAAATTTCATTTAATTTATTGCTGAAAAGAAAGAAAAGAAATATAAAATTGTATTTATCGTAATTAAAATAATTTTAATAATACTATTAAATAATTTTTTTTTTTTGCAAAATATTCAAAAAAAAATTTTTCTTTCTTTTTTGTATAGCCTAAAATTATATACTGTTTTATTTATGTAAAGTATGGAAAATAATATTACTTGACGTTGAGTCAATATAATATTATGATAAAGAAGGCAATTTTGGTTTCTAGTTCAATACATGTTACAAAGGTGTTACATCACTATTATTACGAAGAAGCAAATATAGGTCGAGATGAGAGGATAAGTGCCTGGTATATATATATTGTAAAAACAAACAAAAATACGCCCTTCACATTTTTTTGCGAACAATGAAAATTTTTTTGTTTTTTTTTCTGATTTTTTTTTTTTGTTTATAATAATAATTTACTGTAATCGAAAAATTAAGTCTAGTAATTATTGTAAAAAAAGGAAAAATTATTATTTATTTATAATAATCTATGATACCAAATGAATTTTTTATTGTAATCAAATATTTTTTCAATCAAATATTTTAAGGGAGGAAAATTTATTTGATTATTTATAGCCGATATCGATTAAGTTTTTAATTAACTGTTAATAAAGTTATACAAAAAATGATCTCGTTACTATTATGATTTTTTGTATAACATGTGAATATTATATATATACCTTTAGAAAATATTGCACACTTGGAAAGTAATATCAGAATCAAGTTTCATATACTTAAAGTCGATTAAGTAAGGAGATAATTTTCAATTAACCTTGGCGTCTGTTAGCTCGAGAAAAAGAAATTCTCATTATCTTTGTTTGAAATTTATTCCAAAAAATCGATGCAACATTATATGAGTAACAGAAATATATGCTAATTTCAAATGACGTGAAAATTTAGTATTACAAAAAAAAATGGAATTTTCGATAAAAATTTCAATTCAAAATTCAATTTTTTACAACAAACAAATTTTTATTATTCCCTTTGTTTGAAAAAAAAAATTATTTTATTTTTTCACGTAAAATTTTAATTCTCATTTTTGACAAAATGATTTTTTTTTAAAAATTCAAACACAAAGGATTGTAACTAAAAATAAAATCCCCCCCCCCCCCGAAAAGATCAATATCCAGAAATCGAGTTTGATAAAAACGAAAATAAAAAAAAAAAAATTTTAATCTTTATCTTATACTTGGCCTTGAGAAGGCGAGAGGTAAACCTGTAATGAAATGGGTGTGCTGGATAATAAGAGGTCTGAATAATTGGCATCGTTTGGAATGCTCGCTATTTATGATTTTAGTGCAAATGGCTTCACGAATCACATTCGATTATTCAATATCAAGTAATAATAATATGCTAATAATTTCATATTTAGCATCGCTTTACTTTATAATTATTTCAAAAAATAATGCCAATTTAATTACTATTTTTTGGGACAATTTTTAATTTTTACATAATATAATGACTTTAATGTCAAAGTAATGGAGAATTATTAAAAAAAAATTTATTTCTTTTTCTACATAATTTTTTAATTAAAAGAGAATTTTATTTTGAATTATTTTTTTGCAATTTTTTTTTACTTCGGGTATTTTTAGAAAGCCTTGGGACGTGGTTAATAAAAAAAACTAGACATTCATTTAAGACTAAAATTGTCACTTAAACTGACAGCTCAAAAACAATCTGTGGTAGTTTTGTTTTAATCCCGTATACCATTTTTGGCGCACCACTTAATCATTTTATTTTGCAATCTGTATAATAATTAGCCGAGTAAAATATTTCTTTAATTTCATCAATTTCTTTTTAGCATTATACAATTACAAAAAACAATTATCGATCATTAAATTTTTTTTAATCTCTTTATAAATAAATAAATTAAGAAAATATAATAAATAAAACAAAATAATAAAAAAATCCATCTAATTAGAAATTAATTAAATGACAATTTAAAATTAGATTAAAAAGTACAGGCAGGAGTATAGTCATAAAAACCAAGCATAAAAAATAAAAAAAATATAAAAGGAGAATAAAATTATATACCTATATACGAATATGTAAAAAAAAATGAAAACATTAACTTTTGTCATAAATTAAAAAAATTTGCCAATATCGTAATAAATTATCGTCAATTTGAAGACAAATTTTGCTTTTCATAATTGTTTGAAAAATTCATCAATTTTTTTTTATTACGAAATAAAAAGATGAATAATTATAATAATAATACTACAATTGTAGCTGCAATTTAAAATATAAAATACTTTCTCATTATATGATGAGAATGTGAAAAAAGCCTGGTTATAAAAAAAAAGAGGGGGACCAAATTTTTCAAATGCATGTCTATATAATAACATTTATCATTAAAGGATTTATGGTGAACGCCCAAGGTATGATTATCGGGTTTTGCTCGAGATATAAGGTAGCGAAGACTAATGGAACAATCGTATACATAAAAAAAAAGAAAAAAAAAAAAAATTAGTGATTGCGAAAAAAGAGGCCCCCCTCGAGAGCGTAAAATGCACATTCGGCGGGTGGGTCCAACGATAAAAGGATCAGCCCCCCGAAAGTCTTTCGGCATAGTTTTTTTTGTTTTTTAACTGCGCGAACACAAATGACCCACTTTTTACCGGACCGGTGGGCCCTTGTTCTTTTTTCGCGGGTGGGGCCCCAAGTGTAGGAGGGAGAGAGATGCCCCTCTTGTCCTATACGTCTTGCATAAAAGCAAGAGTTTTTCAACAACTGTCTCACAACCCTTGATTCTTTTGACACAAAATCAGGTCAGATACACGAGTCATATTTTTCAAAATAAATTGCAATTTTTTTCGCAAAAAAAAAAAATTTGTTTCAGTGATTTCTTGTTAAAAAATTCCAAATAAATAAGTAGTGTTGGTGGCAAAATGTAAAAAAGTGATAGCGATTTTTTGTCTGTGATTTTCCGAAAAGTGGATTATTCAACAAAAAAAAAAAATTATTTTACTACTTGGAATATTTATAATTAATTATTAATGAGTAATTAATTATAAACCGCTATTATTACAATATATTTAATTTAATTTTTTTTATTATTATTTATTGTATATTATAATATATTTTATTTTAATAAAACTAATTATTTACTTATTATTTTTACTATTTAAAAACATAAAAATAATTAAAAAATAATTTTAAAATTATTACAAAAATTAAATATTAAATACAGTGGGAATTTAGTTATTGAGACACATGAGACGTATTCAAAGTGTCTCAATAACACATAATTATCATTATTTTCATAGAAAAAAAATTTTTTTAATCAAAATTTTTTAAAAAAAAGTTTGCACTGGGTAAAAAAATAAGGAAATAACATTTTTTCCGCGTTTCTTTCTTTTAGTTTATATATATATGGAACTAATTTTGTTGCCATTTAATAAATCACAAAGTCACTTTTGTTGAATTAATAAATTAACACCATAAACATGTTGTATCTTATGTACTGAAGAAAGAATCGACCTTGCAAATCAAATGTCGTGATAGTATCAAAAAAGTAAAAGTGACACGACTTATAAGAGGGCGCGGTCCATATAAGTGAGGCTGTTGAGATCATCTTAGCGCTCGTGTTTTTTTCGAAAGTGAATCATAAACATCATCGAAGCATGATATGCAAATTTCAATAAGTTAATAAATGCCAAAAGCAAAAAAAAAAAAAAATACAAATTTTTAATTAAATTACATAATCATATACAATTGAAATAATGAAACAAAATTTTTTTTATCGATCACAATTGAAATTTGACTATTAATTAATAACAATTAAATAAATTATAATCAAGATTAATAAATGAATTAAAACAATTAACAAATTGTTAATATTAATAAATATGTTATAATTCTAATAATTAAGTTAATTAATTATAATAAAGTAGTAAATAATTAATTGTAATGAAATTGTAGGATGAGGCTTTTTGTGATAATGGCAGCAATGCTGCATGTTGCCTTTGGGGGTGTTTCGATAACAATGCCATATTTAAATCCAGCTGGTGTCACCTATGTGAATGGCTATCAAGGTCATGGTGCCCCATTAACCTATGGCGCTGGTCTTCAGTACACTGCCCCCTTGCAATATGCAGCAGCCGCAGCAATTCCGGCAAAAGTCGAAGCTCATCATGTTGGTTATGCAAGAACTCATGTTCCCGCCGTTGCCGCTGTACCTTTCGTCAAACACGTACCAACTGTTTCTCAAGTGCCGGTTACCCGCTACGAGGCACATCCCGCTGTCATCGAGAAACAACTCGACGTCATCAAACCCGCTGTCTCAACTCGTAAATTCGAAGTAATTATCTTCTACTTTTCAAATGTTAATTTATTTTGACAAATTTATTTCAAAGTTCATTGTATTTAATTAATTATTCAAATTTAATTAATTATTCAAACTTAATTAATTAGTAAAAAATTAATCTCACAAATAATTTTGTTCCCGAAAGGATATGAATCCTATTTTATCCGATCCTATGTTAGTTTATCCTGTTCTATCAAGGATCCTATTTTTTTTAAAGGATTCTATAAAGCCCTATCAAGGATCCTATTCTGTCCTATCTAGGATTCTATTCCTTTAAAGATCCTATCCTACTCCGTCCTAACAAGGATCCTATCCAACTCTATCATGTCCTATTAAGGATCCTATCCAACTCTATCCCGTCCTATCAAGGATCCTATCCAAGTCTATCCTGTCCTATTAAGGATCCTATCCAACTCTATCCTGTCCTATTAAGGATCCTATTCTATTAAAGATCCTATCCTATCAAGGATCCTACCTTCCTCTATCCTGTCTTATCTAGGATTCTATCCCACTCTATCCCGTCCTATCTAGGATTCTATCTCACTCTATCCTGTCCTATCAAGGATCCTATCCAACTCTATCCTGTCCTATTAAGGATCCTGTCCTATTAAGGATCCTATCTTATTAAGGGTCCTATCCAACTCTATCCTGTCCTATTAAGGATCCTATCCCACTCTGTCCTGTTCTATCTAGGATTGTATCCCACTCTATCGTGTCCTACGAAGGATCCTGTCCTATTAAGGATCCTATCCAACTCTATCCTGTCCTACTAAGGATCCTATCCAACTCTATTCCGTCCTATTAAGGATCCTATCCAAGTCTATCCTGTCCTATTAAGGATCCTATCCAACTCTATCCTGTCCTATTAAGCATCCTATCTCATTCTGTCCTTTCCTATCTAGGATTCTATCCCACTCTATCCCGTCCTATCTAGGATTCTATCCCACTCTATCCTGTCCTATCAAGGATCCTATCCAACTCTATCCTGTCCTATTAAGGATCCTGTGCTATTAAGGATCCTAACCTCTCAAGGATCCTACCTTCCTCTATCCTGTCCTTTCAAGGATCCCTTCCATCTCTATTGTGTCCTACGAAGGATCCTGTCCTATTAAGGATCCTATCCAACTCTATCATGTGCTATTAAGGATTCTATCCTATTAAGGATTCTATTCTATTACGGATCCTATCCTATCAAGGATCCTACCTTCCTCTATCCTGTCCTTTCAAGGTTCCCTTCCAACTCTATTGTGTCCTACGAAGGATCCTGTCCTATTAAGGATTCTATCCAACTCTATCCTGTGCTATTAAAGATTCTATCTTATTAATTATTCTATCCTATTAAGGATTCTATTCTATTAAGGATGCTATCCTATCAAGGATGCTACCTTCCTCTATCCTGTTCTTGCAAGGATCCCTTCCAACTCTATCGTGTCCAACCAAGGATCCTGTTCTATTAAGGATTCTATCCTGTTAAGAATCCTATCCTACTCTGTCCTATTCTTTTAAGGATCCTATCCAACTCTAGTCTGTCCTATCTTATTCTATTCTGCCCTATCTAGTATCCTATCCTATTCTATCCTATCCTAGTTTAGCCTACTCTATCCTATCCTATCATGCATCCTGGAAAGATTTCGAATTACCCTCAGTCCACAAAAGTAAAAAAAAACAACACTATTCCAAATTAAAGATCAACAAAATCTAATTAAAAAAAAAAAAATGCTAAACAGGTACGTCGGCCAGCAATTCAGAAACAATTCTATGACATCGAGGAACGTGTTATTGTTCGACCAGCTGGATCGGCTCTAGTCGAGCTGGATGAGCCCACATCGAAAAAACAAAAGGGACCAGCTGTGGTGCAACCATTGCATTCGGGTGAAATTCCACTTGCTCATCATTCGTACGCTTATGCAACTGCTGGTGCACAAACTGCATTTGCACCGAGTACAATTCCAGTTGTTGCTCATGCACCAGTTCATTTGACAATTGCACCGGTTCTTTCTCATGCACCAATTCAAGGAGCACCAGCGCCAATTATTATTCCATCATCGACACCTGCACCTGCTGCAGCGGCAGCACCATCACCATCTATGCCTGCTGCTGGTTCTTCATCATTGTCCAATGAGGAGGAATCTGTTGTTGTTGAGAATGAGGATTTCCATAGTGCTCAATTTCGTAATTCACCATCAACACCATTGACGGCACTTCAACAACAGAATTTGTTGATTCGTCAAGCTCAACAACGTAACAATCAGGCATCAATGTTGCAAATTCAAACGGCGCAGTCACAATTTGAACAGGCGCAGATGAGAGATGCACTTGCATTTAGACAACATCAGGAGCAACAGCAGCAGCAATTTGTTAGTCTTTTAGAGAATGCACGATATGCTCAGGTTTGTAATTAGATCATTTATGTTGATGTGACACTTGGTACCAAATTGTGATGTATGATGGAATTATCATTACTCTTTATGTATCAGTTGGTAGCGGAGAATTTTTCTTATGGTATCATTGGTACCGAAGGATTATTCAGCTGGTACCATCGGTACTAAAATATTAATCATCTGCTACCAATGGTACCAAAATGATCTACCATCAGATGCAAATATTAGATGATTCATCTTTCAGTATCTTGATGAATCATTCGGTACCAAAGGATTTATCCTATAATATCATTGGTACCAGAGCAAATAATTAAATTCTGATGATCTAACAAGTGATACCAGCTACGTAATAGGATTTATCATTTGGTACCAGTGGATTAATCGAGTAGTATCACTAGTACCAGAATATTAAATTAGATGCTAATGATCTAATAAGTGATACCAATGATACAAAATGATTTATCAATGGATACAAGTAAATTTATCAAGTGGTATTACTGGTACCAGGGGAATTATCAGCTGGTATCGTTGGTACCAGTGGTTTTATCGAATGGTATCACTGGTACCAGAATATATAATTCGATGCTGATGATCTAATAAGTGATATCAGCGGTAAAAAATAATCTAGCAATTGGTAACACTGGTACCATCAAATTTATCGATTAATATCACTGGTACCAGCGAAGTTATCAAGTGGTATCGTTGGTACCAATCGATTTATTGAATGGTATTACTAGTACCAGAATACATAATTAGATAATGATGATATAATGAATTATATAAGATACAAAATTACTTATCATTTGGTACCAGTGGTTATATTAAATGGTACCACTGGTACCATTGAATTTATCGAGTGGTATCACTGGTACCAGCGAATTTACCAAGTGGTATCGTTGGTACCAGGTGTATTATTTGCATCGAATAACTATTTAAGAGATACCATGGACATTAGATTAATATTTAATTGGTACCACTGAAATTAAATGATGCAGAATTGAACCCAAAAAGTAGCATCATCAAGTGGTACCAAATTGATACTTAATAATTGTTACAAGTGGTACCAGTAAAAATCTAATGACAAATCATCAAATTCAAATGTTAATTCCTTATTTTTCAGGAAAACAATAAAATCCTCGCAGAACCTCAAGTAATTGCTCGATCCAATGGAATACCACAGGAGGAAACTTCCGGATTTGCACCAGAATCGTCTACAGTTGTTCCAAGCATCAGAAATAGTCCTGAAGAAAACATCTCTAATCAAAATAGACTTATCGAATTACTCACAGCACGTGGTGGTGTAACTGAAGTAAGACTTTATAAAAATTGTTAGTAATTAGTAATTTTTTTAGTTAGCATTTTTTAATATTACATTCGCTATGGTAATTAATAATTTTGAATAAAATCTAAATTCAATTTTTTTTTAAAGGTTGGCTTCAATCGCGATAAAGGATCAACTGGCGAAATAAAAGACGCGGGCAATGTTCGTGCTCGAGTACTTTCAGTGACACCTGCACCCGATGACGCTGAGCCAACGGGTGAACGTGTGTCAACGAGACGAATTGTGGTGAGTCGGCCAATTGAAACACTTCAAGAAGTCGATTTAGTGGAGCCATCAACAAAATATGAACGAGTTTCAATTCAAGAACCAACTCTCATTAAGACTGTTCATTTGGATCATGTGCAAGTTCATGGCTCAGTTCCAGTATTGGGTAAAGCACTTGCACCAGCTGTTGCTGAAGCTGATGTACCTGTTTATCAAAAAACAATCTCACCCGCCTACCAATATTATCATTAGAAAATAAAATTAAAAAACAAAAAAAAAACCAATAACAAAGTACAATATTTTATGTAATAAATCCGCAAAATAAAAAAAAAATTATACGAATTTTTTTCAATACATATATCAATATTTAATATCAGTACAAATATTGATGTCGAAACTATTTAAAATTCAAATTTTATCCCATATATTTAAAACTGGTGATTATGGAAATTAGTATTTGTAATATCTATACTGAAATATTTTTCACCTCGTCGCAAACAATATATGTAATTTTATCATGTGATGTTTAAATTGGAGATTTATAATATAGATTTTTTTTTTATCTAAAATTGTGGTTTTTATTATTTTTATACCTCTTATTGGAATATATTTTTTTTTACTATTTCTTATATTTTAAGGTGCTTTTTATTTTTTTTATAATTGAGTTTTTATTTAAATTATTCCTGAATTAATTTTTTTCAAATCCTTAGATTTCTTTGAATTTAAAAAAAAATATAACGCGAAACAATTGGGTTATGATATTGTAAAATAAATACCAAGACAAAGGATTTAAAATAGCCATTTTTGTTCCTAGTTTTTGAAAAATTTTATAATCTCTAGATTTAAAACTAGTCATTTTCTCACTAGAGTTAGAAAAGATTTGTTTTCTCCCCAGGGTGAAAAATGGTCACTTTACTCACTAGTATAAAAAAACGGAACATTTTTTGATTGTAATGAAAAATAACAACTACTGTACAAAAGGGTCTACTTATTAGAATAGAAATAAAAAAAAGAATCTATTTTTATTTGGCAATTTGGCAAATTTAAAAAAAATTTTAGCCATTGTTGAAAATTTTGTTTGAAAGTACCAAAAATTAATTTAAACAAGAGTATGGAACCTAAAATACTTTGGTAAAAGTTTCATACATCCAATAATATTTAATCCGCATCTACATCTTATATACTTCCCACTTCCGTCTTTTGTCATGCAAGGATAACCGCTCAAGTGTCAGTTCATGTTCTCTGAAGGTTGTAACATTGACCCGGATACTGCATTATATACACTCTCCCATCCCTTTTCGCAGTTTCGATCAATTTAAAATGTATATAAGCCAAAATCAGTTCGATGATTAATTTCTTGTCACATTTTTCATCGTAAAAAAAATTAATACAAAAAAAAATATTACATATACTTAACAAGTTTTGATATTATTTATCGCATTATTCACATTATGTTTCAATAAACGAATATCAAAATCAATTAAGATTAAAGATACCATTTTAATGATTTATTTATTATATAATTTTTGTCTCTTTAAATAATTTTTAAATAATTTCTTGTACAAACATTTTGTTTATAGAAAAATACTTTTTTTAAAAAAATGATGCTATAATTTTTATTTTCAGTGTTTTTTTATTTTTTTATTTTTTGCGTATTTTTAATATTCATTTAATAATTATTATGGTATTTGTTTCAAATACAAAAATTATTGGCTCAAATACAGTTTATTTAATTTAAATAAAAATTATTTGGTTCAAGTAAATATTTTGAAAAAAGTGTAATATTTAGATGTAATTAAAATATATTATAATAAGAATATAATAAAAGAGATGATCATACGTGATTGACAAAGAGTAAGAAAAGCCCTTGACTTAGTTAACGCCCTCGGTTTGAAATAAGATGAAATATCTCTCGTAGGTCTATATTCAACCAATGGTTATTGGATCTAAGGCATAATCTCAGTTGAACTCGTCAGGTATATGAGCCAGGCCACCTGATTTCTATATAAGAAACACCGTCACGCATCGTGCATTCAGTTTCTTACCATTCAAATATACACACCGGAGCAAAATCTAAGAAGCATTATTTAAATATTCATTTTTGTTATTTTTTTTTTATTAATTATAGGTGAGTTTCATAGTAAAAAAAAAAATTGTTATATTGTGTCATATATATATATTCCAAAAAGTGTGTGCTTTTTTGTGGACAAAAAGGAATAAAATTAGTTTTTCAAAGTGACAGTTATAGTGATATTTTTTTGACCCAAAATTATTTAAACATTCTTACAATTTGAGTTCTACATCCAAAGAAATGATATATTTATCTAAGAGCCAATTTTCGGCTTTATTATTTATTTATTTTAATTTAAATAAATTTTTAATTTTGGTTTAAATAAAAATTTTATTTGCATTTAGTATAAAATTTTATTTATGCTAAATTTAGTTGCGCTAAATAAAATTTTTATTTGTACTAAATTAAATTTTTTTATTTAAATCAAATAAAATTTATTTGAAAAAAAAATATTTATTTGTCTCTGAGACGAATATATTTTTATTTAATTCAAATAAAATATTTGGTTACTATTTTAAAAAATTCGAATTATCTAATATGATCTAATTTTATAGCCTCATTTTGATTGTGTCAGGCACTTATTATTATTAAGTAATTTCCCAAACAGATTAGAAAGTTTATATAGATCAAGTCTGTTATTAGTTTAAAAAAATTAAAATTCAAGTTTTATACAGAGAGCAAAGAAAGTTTCTCTGGAAGTGGACCTGACATGTGGCAGCTAATATTTTTATTATAAATAATACGTAATCAACATATAACTTTTATTTTTTAATAAAAATAATAGGCAGGTAATAAAATACACAGTAAAATTAAATTCTAACTTCTATTAATAACAAGTTATAATTATTATTGTCATTTTTAAACCGAACAAAAAAAAATTCTATAGGAAAAAAATAATTTTAACAATATTTTCAAATATGAAAATTAAAAATAATTTTTCTTTAATTTCAAAATTGAATTTGATTTAATTTTTCAAAAATAATTTTATAATAATTGTAAACAATTATTGAAATTTATTTAAATAAACAAATTTTGGAGGAAAAAAAATTGTACCAAATTTGGATGTACAGATAATACATTCGTTTGAACATTATTCAAGGATGTTATACTTGTTTTCCTTTCGCTGTGGCGCAGAGAATTTGAGACAAGGGCATATCCGCTTCCTTATTTGCCAGCAAAATCTTGCTACCATATATATATATATATATATGAACACACAGTGTCTGACATGACAACTATTTCCTACGTGGCTCAACTTTTCACATATGAAATACAAAGATGATGAAAAGCATACAAATATAAATTACAAATGTCATGTGCAGAAAAAAATTTTCCTTTTATTGTATTTATAAAATTTACAAAATTTTGCCTTTTTTCTCACAATGATAAAAAAAAATTTATTATAAGTTTAAATAATAATTTCAATTAATTTTACAACTCCAAAATAATTTATGATCAAAAATTTCTATTTTAAGAGCTGCAGTTGAAAATAATATTATTTTTACTTTCTAGGGTTGAAAATGACAATTTTACTCCCTAGGATTGAAAAATAGAAAATCTTAATTATTTTATATATAATTAATAATTCTTCTTAGTTTGAAATAATTCAGTTGAGTATAATAATTTTAGTAAAAGAAGAAATAATGATTTCAGATAAAATGCAAAAGTTATTCATCCTTTGCGTTTTAATAATAGGAGAATGTTTGGCGGCGCCACAATTTATAGTCGATCACTCATCGGCTTTATATCGTCATCCTGCGGTTATTGTTAATTCCGAAATGGAAGATGCTTTGCCAAATGAATTGAGGAATGACTTTTACAAAAATCCTCTTGTTGCTGCTGACCTAGCGAAAGAATCTTTGCTTACGGAAAAAGAGATGCAGGTACAATAATTTATAATAATTATATTATTTATAATATAATTTTATTGTATTATTATTTTTTTTTCTTATTGCAGTATAAAAATATTTTTTGAATTCAATATAAATTACTTTTTTTCAGGTGGTGAATCGTGATGCGGATGATATTCCCAGAGAACGAGTTTACAGTATTCTTCATAATGCTGGTTTTGTTAGTAGATAATAAATAATCATATGATAAAAATAAAAATTCCAATATTTCCACAAATCCATTAATCGTCAATAATCATGTTTAAAGCCATATATTTATTTTGCATTACCATATTATTTTGTAATTAAAAATTGTCTATAGCAATTTTTATGCCATATATATATTCATAAATATTTTATAAGAAATAGACGTTTTTTTCTACATAAAAAATAGACGAGAAAAAGTAAAATTTTTTCTCAGGATTTTAAATATAAAAAAAAATTTGTAAATAAATTTTTTTTATAATTTGATCAAATCTTATTTTGTTAAAATCCCTTTCCCTTTAATTAATTTTTTTTTTTAGACAATTTTTTTCGTGTTTTATTGAAAAATTAAAAAAAAATTAGTTTGATCTGAAATATTATTATCGATTTGGAAGAAAAAATTAAATAAGAAAACTTTCGATATTCTTTAATGTATAAAATGAAGACAGTGATAAAGTGAATTTCTACAGACGGCAACCAGACGTTCAATCCAGTTAGTTTGAAATCGTATTTTCAGGAAATAACCCCAATATATAACTATAGCGTATATAAACTTCGTAAATGAATAATTTAATTTGTCTATAGCGTATATATAAAAAATGTTTTATAACAATTTTATAACAATTAATTTTCAATGATCGATATCATTTTTTTATATAAAGTTCAAGAAAAAATTTTGATTGTTTATTTATAATATATTTCTTTACAAAAAATTTAAAACATTTTTTAATTATTTACCTACAAAATTATTCTATTAAATAATTTTTTATTTAAAAATTTTTTTTATTACTTAATTTACAATTTAATAATTGTTATTTAATATTTGTTATTTAAACAAAAATTACGATAAGATTAAAAATAGAAAAAAATTCTTCAAAGTTAGAATATATGGTCGAATAAAGTTAATTGTCTAAAAGTCTTCCAATCTTTTAGAATTTCTTTTACATTGTACTCGTTTTTTTTAATGGATCAAGTTTCAAAAGTTTAATCACACTTTTCCAATATCTCAAATAGAAAAATTTGATTACATGATTATAAAGAGTAGCTCAAAGCAGAAGGTTAATTATTCCTTCGTCCAGATGTTCTTTATCCCTAGAGATTTTTTTTTTTTAAATGTATACCTTAAAGAAATGCTGGAATTTACGTTTAAATGAGAAAGTTCTCGTAAAATGAAAAAAATCTTCTTTCATCAAAGTACATTATGTAAATAATTAAATTAATTTAAAAAAAAAAAACAGAAATTTAGTCTCTTTGTCAAATTACTTTGAATTTAATAAATTAATAGTTTAATTATTATTGTTATTATTATAATAAAATTATCGTTATTAATTATTTTACTTTTTTTTTAAAATAAATTTTAAGTATAATTAGATAAAATATTCTTTGATAAATAATAATCAACAAGTATTTATCTCTATAAAAGCTTTCTAAAATTTCCTTTCCCATAGAATACACAATTTTTTATCTTATTAAAAGTTACATTCTTCGGAAAGAAGCAATAATGTTTCGTTTTCACTATAAAGAAGTAACGATTAAGGAAGAGGAATATAATACTTTGATATTAATTCTTTTTCTTTTTTATTGATATTCAAAGACGACAAATTAGAGACAATAAACAAAATAATAAAAAAAAAATTGTTAAACATTTTTTTTAAATAATTTTTTAAAATTATTTTCTAAAAATATTTTTCATTTTTTTCCCATGTTCCGGTGAAAAATAAAAATTTAATAAAATATGTATCTAGGTATTTTACAAAATTCCGTAAATTTTAATTTTTTACATTCTTTTAATTTTTTTTCATTCCTATATTCGTTTCCAACGAAACATTTCACCTGTACTTAATTAAATTTTCCCCATGTAACACTTGTAATTTTATATTTTTTTATGATGCTACTGGATACCAGATAGTGCAAAAGTAGAAGTGCCGTTTGTCGACTCACAAGTTTATATATAGTTAAATCTGAAAAAGTGTACAGTCGAACGAAAGTAAACAAGGTACATAGAAGGAAGTTCGTAATCCACAGTATTGAAGCGGGGGCGACAGCTGCACGATCTTTTGTAGTAATAATAATTAAAAATAAAAAAATTCACTAAAAAATAATTTTTAAATTAAAAAATAATTTTCAAATTAAAAAATAATTTTAAAAATAAGTTTTAAAAATAAGTTTTAAAAATAATTTTAAAAATAAGTTTTAAAAATAATTTTAAAAATAAGTTTTAAAAATAATTTTTAAAATAATTTTTAAAATAGTTTAAAAATAAATTTAAGAATATTTTTAAAAACTAAATCAAAAAAACACTGTAAAGTGATTGGAATTTTAATTTTCCACTAGGACTATTTTTTTTTTAGAACAAAATTGAATATATAAGCGGTTTTCAGTAAATGAAATAATTTCCACTGAATTCTGAGATCATTTTGTCTCTCTCTCTCTCTTTCTCTATTGTAAATCAGAACGTATGTGCTATTAATGACTATAGAAAAGCCCATTCGCATTTCTGATTATATAGTGAACAGAAATGCTTGTTGCATTGTCTTCGAATGATGCTGCATTGACACATGTGGTCCTATATCATAGACGTTGCAATTATTGCATCAGCTTATAGATGAAGCTAAGATTATCTTTTGTCCAAAGAAATTCATCCTTTCCCTCATCCCCCTTTTTAAAATAATTCAATTTCATTTTCAAAAGTAAATTTCACACCACTCTCTAAATATGAATTAGTAAAAATGTTTACTAATTTAAATTAGTGACTCACTTTTTGCTTCTGAGAATTAGTAAAATTGTACTAATTATTAGTAACTTTTACTGACAATTAGTAACATTTTACTAATTCACTCACTTTTTGCTTCTGAGAATTAGTAAAATTATACTAATTATTAGTAACTTTCACTAACAATTAGTAAAATTTTACTAATTTACTCACTTTTTGCCTCTGAGAATTAGTAAAATTGTACTAATTATTAGTAACTTTTACTAACAATTAGTAAAATTTAACTAATTCCGAGGGGGAATTTACTCATGTAGTCAAGTGTACACTCTTCCTGTAATACTTGTGTAATAACATGTAATACCGTGTAATAATGCGTTATTACGGTGCTGTAATAACGCAAAGAATCTGTAATATCTCTGTAATAATGTGTAATACTCTGTAATAACGTGTAATACTTAGTAATAAGGGTAATATGAGGTGTATTACTGGTAGTCAAGTGTACACGTTTTTAACTAGTAAATTCCCCCTCCACTAATTCACTCACTTTTTGCTTCTGAATTAGTAAAATTGTACTAATTATTAGTATCTTTTACAAACAATTAGAAAAATTTACTAATTCACTCACTTTTTGCTTCTGAATTAGTAAAATTGTACTAATTATTAGTAACTTTTACAAACAATTAGTAAAATTTTACTAATTCACTCACTTTTTGCTTCTGAATTAGTAAAATTGTACTAATTATTAGTAACTTTTACTAATTCACTCACTTTTTGCTTCTGAATTAGTAAAATTGTACTAATTATTAGTAACTTTTACTAACAATTAGTAAAATTTAACTAATTTATAAGCAAAAAGTGAGTGAATTAGTAATTAATTTTTGCTTCTGAAGTAGTAAAATTGTACTAATTATTAGTAACTTTTACTAACAATTAGTAAAATTTAACTAATTCAGAAGCAAAAAGTGAATCACTAATTGAAATTAGTAAACATTTTTACTAATTCAGATTTAGAGAGCAAATTTAATAAATAACAAAAATTTATATATTTATATTTTAAACAAATTTATATTTTAATAGAGAGTCAATATTTAATTTTCTTAATTTATTTAATTAATTAATTTCTAATATTCCAATATTATTTAATATTTAATTCAATTAAAAAAATTATTTTTTTTTCTTGACAGTGACTTAGTAAAATTTTAAAAATTATTGAGAAGATTAATTTTATTTATTTATTTGTAATAAAATAGGTTAATAAAATTAAATTACTCTTAATGGGGGTAAAATTATTTTCCTGAAATTAAGAGAAGATGAACATGGTCCTAAATAAAATAATAAAAAATGTTAACCTACATTTAGGAATTTGCGTCCACAAAATTGTTTGCGAATCTGTTGTGTGCGATATATAGATTGTTTAGGATGCGTCCGGGAAAAGAGACATGCACTCTGTGGGGATGTATACTATAAATGCGGATGGTGAATGCTGGATCCGTGCAGATTCACAATTCGTTGTCCTTCGTGAAGCAATCTCGGGAAACGAGAACACCAGTGATCTTGTCTAACTTCCCAGCAGCAGCAGCAGCAATAACGATCGAGGAGAAAAGATCGTTAACGATCTCCAATATTTTTGTACAGTCTCTATATCGTTGGATAATAAACAAGGTTGGTGTCTTCTTATCAAGATTCCATTTTTTTTTATATTATATAAAAAAAAGCCCCGAGATAAGAAAGCAAATAATGTAAAAAAAGAGTAAAAAACCATTTTTTTTGCTTTTTTTAAAATTCTAAACAGTGGAGAAAAGAAGTTGTAATTAAATATAAGTTAGTGATTTTTCCTTAAATAATAATTCAAAAAGAAAATGTTCCAAAAAAGTTTGCAATTTTTTTTTAAAAAATTGTTTAGAAAAAATTTTATTTGATTTAAATAAACTGTTACTTGACTATTATCAAATAAATATTTATTTGAATCAAATAATTTTTACTTGAATCAAATATTTTTTATTTGAATTAAATAAATTGTATTTGAACCAATAATTTCTGTATTTGAAACAAATAACATTTAATCGACTAAAATAATAATTATTTGAAATATTTATTTGATAACAGTCAAGTAACCGATTATTTGAATCAAATAAATTTTTTTTCACAGTAGATATTTACAATTTTCTTTTACTTGAACCAAATAATTTTTATTTCAATTTTATTTGTATTTTTATAAATTGTAATTGAATGAATAATTTCTGTATTTGAAAAAAATACGTTTTCATTGATTTATGTAATAATTATTATGTAATAGAAATAAATATTTATTCGATAATAGTCAAGTAAATTTTACCAATAAATTAGTGAACACAATTTTTTTTACTACACCCAGAGAAATGTTTTATTTGAACCAAATATATTGGAGAAACGTATATTTGTCTCAGTCCATTTATTTGATTTAAATAAAAATTTTATTTGTCATAAATAAAATTTTTATTTAAATCAAATAAATATTCTTTGGCTCTGAGACAGAAATATATCTTTCCTCTGGGTGTAATTAATTATCTATTGTTCCTAATTAATTAATAATGTTAATTATTAATACAATGAAAAAAAAATTTATTTGATTCAAATACCGGTGTATTTAGTTATTATCAGATAAATATTTACTTGAATCAAATATATAGTATTTGACTCAAATATTTCAGTATTTGAAGCAAATACCATTTATTTGATTCAAATAAGAAATATTTGATTCAAGTAAATATTTATTAGATAATAACCAAATACACCGGTATTTGAATCAAATAAATTTTTTTTCAGTGTAATAATTAATAATTTTCGTAACAAAAAATCAGTTACTAATTTAAATTAGTAAAAATTGTTACCACATATTAAAATTGCTATTCAAATTCAGTAGTTTAAAATTTTCATCACTCCTCAAAACATATAGAATAGAAAACGTTTTTCTAGAATGAAAAAAAAAATGATCGAATGTTTTATAGTTTCGGGAGTGAGAGACTGAAGATTTTATCGTGATCCAGTTGCAATTATCTGATGAAACAGAATTTTCTCAACGTCCTGAAATCATCATTGCAAAATATTTAATATTACTTTCTGAATGCAAGAATAAGAATAATAAATAAACAAAACAAAACAAAAAAAAATATTAATTCAAGATGATTTCAGGGAGATGAATGTGATCCTTCTTGTTGCCGCTACAATTCTTGCAGTTGTTTCATCAGAACCGGTAAGAATAGTTATTAATTCATATTAAATAATTTTATTTTTTTTATTTTCAAAATTCAAAATATTATATATTATTATATATATATATATATTATAATTATAATAATTATTATTTAATAATTATTATTAAATAATAAATTAATATTTTTCATGTATTAAAATTTGATAAATTTTTGGAAAAAAAGAGAATAATTTCGTCAATATAATTGAGAGGTGGTGTTATAGTCAAAGTAGTAAAGTTCCTATGAATAATTAATTTGAAGAACGTTGAGTGTGCTCGATATTATATATATATATAGGATGCTATATAATTGCATAAGTCGAAGAGCGGCGTTGAAGTGAAGCCTTATAACTACTGCACTCTATTTAGAGAGAGGTTCTCCAAGAGACTAAGAGAAATTGCACAATATTTATAGAAATGTGGTACATATAAGATTCACTTTCTACAATCACGAGCTTCTTGTTTATAACGCTTCTTCGATCAACCAGCATCGAACGCGATTCACGAGATTATAATATAATTAATTACCCACTCGCGGCTCGTAAATCGATTCTAATTTTACTTTTATGGAGTTGAGGAAGCATTAAACACATACATTTATATATATAAATAAATAAAATATATATATACAGAAAGTTAGTTTAAAATCTTCATTTCCTTAAGTTTTTTTTTTCTTCATCATAATCAAAAATCTTCCTATATTTGTCATTTTGTTTTAATATTTATTTATTACTATTATTTATATCTAAAGTAAAAGTTGGTAATTGATTATTCACTTTTTTTTATTTATTAATAAATTTTATTTTTCGTAATTTTTTTATTATTAATAATTATATTAATAAATTTATTGTTAGTAATTAAATAATTTTATAATTATTAATAAATTAATTCTTAATAATTGAATAATTTTATAATTATTAATAAATTAATTCCTAATAATTGAATAATTCTATATAATTAGGAATATATATATTTATTTTTAGTAATTGAATAATTTTTCATCTAAACAGATTGGAGACAGACGAACGAGGGATGTAAAAGATATCGTAACTGGTGGACCAATTGATGGAAATAATTCATCTCATTCGTTAAATGAAAATGAATCTGAGGATTATGATCAGACCAATGGGAGTAATTGGCTGGCTGCTGTGCCTGGAGTTCCTGGCAAGGATTATCCTAATCTCAATTTTATTCCCAAAACATCCTTCACTTGTTCCGATAAGAAACCCGGAGGATATTATGCAGACATTGAAACACGTTGTCAGGTTCGTAGACAACGAATTTTTATTAATTTATTATTTTTAAATAAATAAATAATTAAATATATATATAAATAAAAATAAATATTTATTATTAATTAATAAATTAATTTTTTTTATACTTTTTACTGAAATTCACTTTGTTCTGACTTTCAAGTAGGAAAGGATGACATGCACCTTATTGTAATATATATGAGTGAAAAAAATGTTTCTCGCTGTAGGACAGTAGAAAATTATATTTCAGTTAATTACAAAGTAAAAACTATTAAAAAATTATAAAGTTAAATAAAATTTATTCTTAATTAAAGATAATTTTTCTTGGCAAAAGAGACAAAGCGCTAAAGTGAAATAAATCTGCTCAACTTTCTCCAAGATAAAGTAGTATAATAATAAAATTTTTAATTAAATTTTTCAGAAACATAATTAAAATGTGTTTATCACCTAATTTAAATTAAATCATCTAATTAACTATTTTTAAATAAAAATAAAAATAAATATTTTATAATTTAATTTTTAATATAAATAATAATAAATAATTTTAATAAACAATTTAATAAATAATTTTTATTTAATAATTAAAATTATTAAAATTATTCACTTTTTGCTTTAATAGAAATTTTCATTTTTTTTTCTTTTCCCGCAGGTTTTCCACGTCTGCAATGTGGGAGATGTGAAGAGTTCTTTTCTATGTCCACCAGGCAGTATTTTTAATCAAAAATATTTAGTTTGCGATTGGTGGTATGATTTCGAGTGTGAGCATGCAAGTGATCTTTTTTCCTTTAAAGACACATTGAATCGCGAACAATTGGAATCAAATTTCAATAATAATAATAATGAAAGAAATGAAGAATTTTATACAAATTCTCAATTAACTTCATCTAGACAAGAATCATCATCGTTTGCCTATCAGGAAAATAATTCTGTAAATGACGCACAAGATTTGTCACTCGCTGGCACTGGTGAAGGTGGACTTGGCTATTCGAGAAAATCGAATAGACAATATGAAAAAACAGATAATTCACAACAAAATACAAGAGTTCCAAATCAAATTGATCATCGAAATACTAATTCAACGAGGCAATTGTCAAAAATTTCAAATTCTCATACCAATAACAAAAATGATGATTTTCGATATCAAACTAGTAAAAATTCCAACAATGAGGGAAATTATCATCAGAATGATAATAGCAGAAATTATCAACAAAATTTAAATAATGAAAGAAATCGTCAAATTAAAAATGAAAATTATCAAAGTGAAAATACAAATTACAATAACAATTATCAAAACAATAATGAAAATTACAATCGAAATTATCAAAGTAGAAATGATAATTATCAAAATATCAATGAAAATATAAAAAGAAAAGAAAATGAAAATTATAATCAAAATTATCAAAATGAAAATAACAGAAATTATCAAAATATCAATGAAAATGCAAAACAAAATTATCAGACTACCAAAGAAAATAAAAATGAATTTATAAATCAAAATTCCAATGAAAATAGAGATAAATTACCAGATTTAATACCAAGAGGATTTGCCGTTAATTACGGTAAGAATACAAATTTTAAAAATAAAATTTCCCCAAATAATCAACAAGACAATTTTTTCATTACCACTCCGTCGGTTATTAATTATCTTCGTAAAGATGAATCAAATATCCAACAAGAAAATTACAATATCCCCTATCAATCAACAGAAAATTCAAAAAATCATCATCATCATCAAGACAATGAAAATAATGATGAAACAATTTTCACTATAGACGAAGAAGATGCATTTGATCGACAAAGACAATTAGAAGTTGATAATACAATTTTAAATAAAAAATTAAATTTCGAAAATACTGATGAATTTAATTTCGATTATGATTCTGAATCGAGAATTTTATCTTCCGAAAGGCCACCAAATAATAATAATAATGACAATAATAATTATTATTACAATTATTATAAAGATAATACAAATTCTCATTTTTCATCATTAAATTCAAAAATTGGGGAAAATCTCACAAAACAATATAATGATGATCGAATTGAAAATTCAGATGATTTTAATAATGGACCAAATTCTCATTATAGAAAACCGGATAATAATTTACGTCCGCCAAATTTTTCGACTGTAAATTCAAATTTAAAAGAATCTGCAAACAAAGAAACTGCTCATTATTCTGACATAATACCAAATTCAAAAGACAATGAATTCTTTTTATCCTCGACGACGGGGTCAAGATCATTTAATCAAATTAATAATGAATTTACGACAACTGTTCGCGATAATTCGAGGTTAAAGAATGAAAAATCTGATTTACAACAAAATAATGAAAATCATCAACAAAATGCTTATGATTATAATGCACAAAGTCATTATCAAACATCATCTAATTATGAAAATTCGAATCAATCTCAAGCAAAGGAATATTAGTTTAATTAATTTTTGACAATTTTTTAGTTAAATTAATTTCGTAAAAAAAAATTATTATTTTTTTTTAATATTAACGAATTTCTTTATATATTTTTAAATTTGATTAATATTTTAATTAATTTAAAAAAAATTTTAATAAATTAAAATAATTTTTTTTATTAGTATAAGTTAATAAAATATTTCTCTAAAAATTTTTTTTAAATCTAAATTTTTCAGCCAAAAATGTAACATGAAATTGACATTTCTTAACTTAAAAAAAAGTTTATATTTCCAAGACTGAAACAATGTAACGATTTATATTTTAAATATTTCTTTAAATTGAAGTTTTAATATTTAAGACTATAATGTAAGATAAAACATATAATTTTAATTATTTATTATAAAAATATAAAAAAATCGTAACAAATGAATGCCATATTTGAGGCTTTTTTTTTAATGTGCAAAATGAAATAAATTTTTGTATTTTTTCATAAAAAATGAAGCGAAACATTTTTTTTTCCTAATAATTAATGATAACTAATAATTAATTAATTATTTACTAATAATTCTAAATAAGAAACTAATAATAATAATGCAGAATAATATTATTATTACACTCAGAGAAATGGTATATTTGTCACAGAGCCAAGTATACATTTATTTGATTTGAATGAAAATTTTATTTATGGTAAATAAAATTTTTTTCTTCAATAAATGTTGGCTCTGAGACAAATATACGTTTATTTAATTCAAATATATTATATTTAGTTAAAATAAAACATTTCTCTGGGTGTATAATTATACACGCAGAGAAATGATTTATTTGAACCAAATAAAATATATTTGAGTTAAATAAACGTATATTTGTTTCAGAGCCTACTAACTTATTTTTCTGGCGTAAATAAAAGTTTTATTTGTCAGAAATAAATTTTTCTTTGCCTCAAATAAATTTTTTATTTCAATGAAATAAAATATATTTGCAACAAATAAATGAGTTAGTAGGCTCGGAGGCAAATATACCATTTCTTTGAAATGGTATAATAATATCACGGAAATAAATCTTTATCTGGAACAGTGATATGTTTCACTAGAACAGCGAAAACTTTCGTTGTTTTACTGAAACATATCGCTGTTCCAGTGAAACTTATCGCTGTTCTAGGTAAAATATTTTTCCCGTGTACTAATAATAATAAATATTTATTCATTTACATGTAAACAGACTTATTTATATTTTATTCTTCAGTAAAATAAAAATCTAATTAATTTTTTTTGAAATTATTTTCACTGGTTATAATTAAAAAAAAAATAAATAAATTGAAGAAATGAAAATTTGGAAAAAAAAGTAAGAAATTGGAATTCTTAGTGATAAAAAAATATATATAAACAAAAATGTGTAGGTGTTGGTAAAAAAAGCGAATCCCTGGTATGAAGAGAAATAATGATGAGAAAGATGCTGGCTTAACTCAATTTGGCACGTCTTTTCCACTCGGTATTTCACAGCTTTACTGGAGAAAAGAAGATTTTCCTTCTTCGTTTATGAACTTTAGCGAAATAGGGACAACGAATAACTGCGTTGTATACGTCATCTAATAAGTACAAGTATTATATATATATATATAGGGAATGGCATACTGAAAATTAGTATTACGTGCTTCTCAAGTCGCAATATAGAAACTTAAAATTTCTACAATTATTTTAACTAGTAATTTAACAACTTTTAAAAACACATTTTCTTCTATATATAAAAATTTATACATAAAAGTTCATCTCGGGAAAATATTTAAAAAGTATACTTTAAAAGCCATAGTTACTAAAAAAAAAAATTTCGTGCTAAATGCTATTTCCAAAAAAAGAAACAATTTTTCAGTTATTTTTTGTCTCTGAACTAAATAAAAATTTATTTGTTTCAAATATAATTCTTTTTTTTGGTAAAAAAAAATGTTATTTTGTCCAAATAAATTTTATTTTGGTTCAAATAAACTTTATTTTAAATAGTTATTTAGCTCAAAGATGAATATATTTTTTATTGAATTCAAATAAATTAGTTGTGTCAAATAAATAAATAGCTCTGAGACGGAATATATTTTTTATTGAATTCAAATAAATTATATTTAATTCGAATAAAATAAAAAATTTCTCCGGTTGAATAACATATATATATATATATATATATATTGATTTTATTTACTTTATTTAAGTATATTTAATTGCGGATCAGTAAATTGCGCCCAAGGCGTTAAAACCATTCCTTTAAAATCAGGTCACGATTCGCAATGTCGATTTACGGAAAGATGGGTATAACGCTCTTTTTTTTTTTTTTTTTTTTTTTTTTTTATTTTGCGCAATCCCTCTGATTGAAGAAGAAATTCAGATCACTTTCGCTGGGTATAACTTTGAAGAGATGTATCGCCAATTCATCAACGTGAATTCTTTATTTTTTTTGGAAAGAGTCATCTCAAGGATGTTCTTTTAAAGATTTTTCGTATATAAAAGCCAGAGATTTACACATTAGCCATGGTATTTATATTTCGATCGTCTGACTTATTCACTGGACCAAGAAAAAAAAAAAAAAAAATTATTTTTTTATTTATATAATATGGGTTTTATTAATTTTGTCCTTTTTGCCGTTTTTCTGTTTAGCGTCATCAAGGTATGTATAATATGTAATTAATATAAAAAATTTAAAAAGATTTTCTCATTTAAAAAATAAAAAAAAAAAAATATTGAAATTATCAAATTAATTTTCTAAAATATTTTGAAAATGGATAAAATGGATAAAATAATTTGCACAATTAATTATTAAATTTACAAAAATAGAAAATAATATAAATGTATATAATGAAAATTGGCAAAAAAAAAAAAAAAAAAAAATGATAACTAAGTCTCAATAATTAATGTCGTGACATTTAATTTAGTTGCGAAAGAAAATTGTAAAAAAAATATATATAATATATAAAAATTAATATATATTATGCATAACGCCCTTTAGGAATTTAGAACAGAGATCGTGGCGAGAATATAATATAATAGTATAAACGAGTCTGAACTTTCGTGCAATTTCCCTGTCACCTGCAACTTCGATGAAAGATAACTCTTTGACCCCCCGCCATTCATTGGCAGTCTCCATGTCATTTACCTGTCCAAAGCTATTCATTAATCACATTTGCATTTATCAGACACAAGAGGGCTACATCCTTGCAACGTCGAAACAGAGGCAAAATTCAAAATCAACTTTAGAGAATGTTCATGATGTGTTGACGGCAAATATCTTTGGAATTCCTGGCAAAGATTATCCAAATTTTAATGAAATTCCAAAAACACAATTTAACTGTGATTCACAATTATATCCTGGCTATTATGCTGATATTGAATCTGATTGCCAAATGTATCATATTTGTCAGCCAGGCGGAAGAAAAGATTCTTTTCTCTGTGCCAATGGAACTATTTTTAATCAGGAGAGACTTGTTTGTGAATGGTGGCACAATGTCGATTGTTCACAGGCCAAAGCAAAATATTCCGTTAATGAAGCCGTCATCAAAGCAATGGAGGAAATTGATAGGTATAACAAAAATCTTAATTTATATAAAAAAAAAAAATTTTTAATTATTTATTTATCCAATTTTATAAATAAATAAAATAAACAATTTTTATTTTATTTTAGATTGAATGCTGAAAGAAAAGCGGCTCAAGTTTTTAAAGATGAAAATTTTCAAATTCGTGGCGAAATTCACGACGCTCAACAACCACCCCAAGGATATAGGATTAAAAATAATGCTAATTTTATGAAAATAAAAAATAAAGTTCCAGCTGAATCAACAGATGATGTTCACGGATTTTACTCTCGCAAATATAAATCAAACGATTCCCAAGGATCTAATTACAGAAACCAGTTTCGAAAAATGGTTACCATCTAATTGTGTCAAAATTAATAATTCAATTTAAAATTCATTATTAATTAATTAATTCTATGAAATTATAATCATAATTTATATTTATAATAAGTTTTTATTAAATTTATAATAATTTTAATATTTAAAATAATTCTTATTATATTTATAATTATTAAATATATTCTAATATTATTAAAATTGAATATGCTTTAATTTTTTTGTGACAATCATTTTTGTTATTAGCGAAATTTAAATTGAAAGTCATTTGAAAATTTTTCCTCCATAATGTTACATTTATATAATATACATGAATTAAATATATATTTATAATACATGCATAAAATAAATATAGTATTACAAATTTTATCATTCGTCTCGAGGCTAGTCAGTACTCTTTGATATCATATTATGAAAAATCTTATCAACAGTTCATTTGATCAATAATATTACATTAGTTAAACGTACAGTTTATGTTTACAAAATCACAATGAAAAATTATCCTTGTAATAGCTCGTTCGAAGCAAATATTTTCCGATAATAACACAATATTTGTACTTAAATTGTACTCTCACATCAACAGAAGGAGAGAGAGAGAGAGAGAGAGAGAGAGAGCTCACCATTAAAATTTATTTCAAAAAATTATTTGGTTATTTAAAAATAAAAAAATTAATTTTCATTAAACAAACTAAATTTTGCCAACTTTATGGGAAAAAAAACAAAGCTAAAAAGACAAATAATTGAAATACAAATAAATATTTTGGAAAATTTGTCAAAAAAAAAAAAAAATTATAAAAAAAAAAAATTAGGAAACGTGACAAAAATTTTGAATAAAAAAGATTGACATAAACGCCGGAACGGAATATATAAATTCGTTTGATCATGAATTTATGACTTACCAATTTAAAAAAATTAACTGTAAATCCAAGAGCCTTTGTCCTCAATTGTTATGTATTAGATTAATTGACTTAAGGCACCGCAAATATATTGTACTCGAGAAAGAAGAACTATCTGCGAAGGTTATATTGCGATTAGCGTCCTTGTCAAGTGCGGTTTCCTCTATTAAAGGGACACTTGGACTTCCTTGATCTGACGTTAAGAAAAAAAAAAAAAAAAAAAAAAAAAAAAAAAAAAAAAGAAAGAAAAAAAATTGTGTATAATTATTATACAAATGTATATATATATATTGAAGATGTCCAAGTAAAATCAAAAGAATTTTCCCATTGTTATTGTACTTACCTTGCACCATCCGAACTCTTTAAGGAGCGGCTGCACTGTGCGTAACACTACTCGTAATTTATAACGCTCAATGTATTTATCTGGCCCGTGATTTGCCGTTTAATATCGCAATCGCAATAGTTTATCAGAATAGTTCGTTGCTGGCCTAGGACAAGTGCACTACACAGAAATGAGGGGCAAATCTATCACAGGTAAGACTCATCGAATTAAACAGAATTTTCCATTTTTTTTTTTTTTTTTCGTTTTTTTCAAATAAATTTCAATTAAAATTATCCAATAAATAGACCCCTATTAATTCAACATCAAAAAATGAATATAAATTTATTTTTTAAATATTTTCCAAAAAAAAAAAAAAAAAAATAATTTTTTTTAATTTCTTTTTGTGAAAAATTTGAATTAAACGATAAGATAGAATTCCGTTTTTTTTTTCTTTTTGTTAATATTGATTATATTGATATATAAGGATTAATTCAAAGACACGCGTATTAAAATTAAGTGGCATTATCATAAAATATTTATTCATTTCTCATCTATTTCGCGTATTTTTATTAAGATTATCCTAATCAGTTGTGAATATAGTCTGACTCTCCGGTCATATACAAGTTATTGTCATTTATTGCGCCGCATATTAGTTTTAAATAAAATTAGTTCATTGGTTAAAACGGCAAAAATTTAACTAAAAATAGATGTGCGCATTTTTATGACAATGTGTGTGTGTGTGTGTGTGTGTTTTTTTGTATTTATTATTATTGGAAAACAATTTTTTCATTTTGATTGAAAATAACATTTTTCAAAATCAATTTTCCCTGTTTTGATATAATGTTTTCTAATCGTGTCTTTTTTTGTTTAAAAATAAATTATTTCCTTGAAATTATATTTTTCAAGTAAATAATTTTTTTTTTTTTTTCACTTAAAAATTATTTTATCAAATAAAACAAAATTTTCCGTTATAAATTATAGTGTTATTAATAAGGTTTTATAGTGTTATTAATAGTGTTGTTATTAATTATTGTTTTTATTAACATTAAACCGTTGTTATAAAATTAAATAGTGATTTATTTATAAACAAGTGAAATTTTAAGTTAAAAAAGGACAATTAATTAAGTATGAGTGGATTTTTTTTTCTCTATATAAGATCAAATAATGAATTTAATTTTTACATCAATAAATAATGGTGGTAAAATAAAACTGTGATAATTATTTTATTTATTTAATAATAAAATATTTTATTTATTTAAGAATAAAATATTTTATTTATTTAGTAATAAAATTAAAATAAGACTGTAATAATAATTAGGTACAATTCAATAATAAATAATAGTTTTTAAAATTAATAACAAGAATAAAAAAAAAATTGTTTCAATACAAATTTTAATAATAATAATGTCCGACACGTGTGAAATGATTTTAAAATGTTATATTGGTAACAATGACATAATAATATTTACGAAAGATTTAAGTTGAAAATAATTAAATATATACACAAAATAACGAATAGCAATTAAACAAGTCATTAGCGTGAAATGTTAATATTTCGTTGAATCACGAAAAAAAAAAAAAAATAGATAAATCGATAATAGAATAAAAATTCTTTTGCGTATCATTGTTTCGACAGAAATATAAACAATCGTAATGACAACATTGTGAGTTTTCTTATCATTTTAAAAAATCATTATTTTACATGTTATAGGCATATTATTAAATTATCGCGCGATATTTCAAATTTTTCATAAAATTATACAATTATTTTTCAAAATATAAATTGAAAATTTTTTCAACAAATGATAAATAATCGTTTTGTTTTCTTAAAAAAAAAATAATAATAATAATAAGTCGTTTTTTATTTAAATAAAATCAACTTTTTCGAATCAAATAATTTCTGTATAGGAAAAAAATGAAAATTTCAAATAGGAAATAAGCATTTCAGTAAAAGCTAGGAGGAAATAATCATACAAAAACAAAATGTTAATCTAATTTAATGAGCAATTTGAAAAGTGAAGAATCAATACGTTTCTGATATGAACATTTATGCAACATGCACTATTTACTCATAGGAAGACCTTGATATAAGTCATCATTAAGGCCATTGCCAATGGGCATAATATCAACATTTTTTTTTTTTTCAACCATCATCATCATCATTACCATAATCATTTTTTTTTTCATTTTTCCCTCCAAAATAATGAAATATCAAACAAATATTGAAAATCATAAACTTTAATAATAATTTTTGCTATTGAGATAAATTTTTTTTTTTTAATTTAACAAAAATTATCATTATTTTTTTTTATTCATTCAGCGAATGATGAAATAAATTAAAGAACAAAATTAAAATAATAAAAAAAATAATTATTATTATTTGAATGATGATATAGTACCATAATAATATAATAATTATTACCATAATTATAATTAATTTTCATGAATCAAAATTCTATACAACTTACATGTAAAATTAATTAACTGTTACTTAACAATGAATCTGACAAATATATATATATATTGTATAATGTGTATAATATTTTTTTTTCTATTAATAATTTGTTAAAAATTAGTCAACAGGTACGTAAATCGTTAGTGAATTAAAATTCCTAGCATAAAGTCCATTTCACGCTACTTAACTTACAATGAATGAGCTTCGTAATTAGTAAGTGACGGTTTCCTTGGTGTTGCAGACCTCACGCAAGAATACTTGCCGTATATAATAGAAGATAAGGAAAACATTGAGAATCTTCAGATTTTTTACGCAAAAGAGATACCTGGCTGCCGAGATGGTGACAACTTTATGTCAGTTGTCATTAGAACACAACTCAAAGGGATCTTCCAAAATGGAAATCGTTAGTGATCACAATTTTTTTTTTTTTTTTTTTTTTTTTTTTTTTTTTACTTTTAAATACTAAAATTAATCAATTTTTATTAAAAATATATTAAATTCAATTTTTTACTTAAATTATATTAAAATCAATTATTATTGTATTAAAATTAATAAATTTTTTATTAATTTAGTTTTTCTATTTTTTTTTTGCAATATTTAATGTTTAATATTAAACCAAAAATTCTAATATGAAAATAATTTTTTTTTTTTTTGAACAGCTTTTGAGAAATCAGTGATAACAAAAATATATCCAGCTGTCAGTGATAAATTTGTCACTTTAGTCAGAACTAGAGATCTCTTTTGCAATGAAGCACACGCATATGAAAATATTTTGCCCGCAATTGGTGCAAAATCATTGGCACCGGAATATTTTTTTGCAAATTCAGAAAAAATTATTATGGAAGACTTGACACGAGTTAATTTTTTCACCTGTGATAGACAACACTTATTAAATTACAATCACTGTCGGCACGTACTTCAGGTAATTAAAAAACAAAAAAAAAATTTTTTTTAATTAATTGAAAAAAAAAATTTATTTGATTTAAATAATAATCGACTGTTATCAAATAAATATTTATTTGAACCAAATAAATAATTTCTGTATTTGAAACAAATCAAATAATAATTATTTAATACAAATAAAATATTTAATAGACGATTATTTAAATCAAAAAATTTTTTTTCTAAAAATAATATTTAAAAATGAATTATTTTTTTTATAGGCCTTGGCGCATATTCACGCTGGTTCCTTAAAATTGAAACTCAATAATCCTGAATACTTTAGAAATCTCATAAAACCAATAACAGAAGTGACATTCGCTGATAAATCAAATGGACAAATGAAAAATTCCCTTGAAAAAAGTTTAAATCATGCAATTCAAAGTTTAGAATCAATTCAACCACCAACGGCAAATAGTGAAAAGTGTTTGAAATTTTTAAAAAAATATCCAAATAAAGTTTATGAAATTGTTAAAGCATCAACAACAAATCGTTCCATTTATGATGTGATAATACATGGTGATGTTTGGAAAAATAATATTTTTTTCTCCAAAAATATTGTACACGATGAATTGAAAGTGAAATTTGTCGATTATCAAGCAGTGAGACATGCATCGTTAGCATTGGATATTCATTATTTTTTATATTCAAGCGCTGATTTAAATGTATTTGATAATCATTATCGTGATATGATGCAAATTTATCATACAGAATTTCTAAATCAACTTAAATCAACAATAACAATGGAACATTATGATGCACTTAATTATAATTGGTTTTCGCGTGAAATTGAAAAACATGCGGTTTATGGTCTTTTTTTTGCCCTTAGTTTAGTGCACGTAATAATGGCCGATGATGGATCAATAAAACTAAGTGTTTCAGAAAATGGTCAAGAACTGAATACAAAAGTACCTTTTTCAATGCAAAAAACAAAAAGAATAGAAAGCATTGTCACGCATTTTATAAATACATTCGGTGATATTGATTAGTTAACTCCCCCACACCAAAAAAAAAATTTTATTATTTTTTTTTAATCAAAAATGGCTAGTCAAATTTTTTTTTTTTTTATCATTCATTATAATTATTTCGACAATTCGTTTTTAAATGTATAAATGTGTGAAATCATCGAAAAAATATTAATATTTGACAACTATTTGAATTTATTTTTTAAATTCAGTTTCTATACTTAGAGAAATATATTTTAAATATTTTCTTTTTAGAATATGTTATTTTCACAGTATTATACTTAATTTAAGAGTAAATTTAAATATTTTAAAATAGATGTCTTTTTGGGGAAAAAATTTTTTTTTCGATGATAAAATGAGATGGATGCAGTGTGTAAAATTTTATTTCATTTAATTGATATTTTTAGATGATTTTATTTGTTTTTGTATCTGTGTAGTTAAATTTTTAGGAAATTTCAAAAAAAAATTTTTATATATTTTTTTAAAATTATGTCAAGATTTGTGAGATTTTTTTTAGAGTGCTAAATATTTTTTTTTAGGATTGTGTTTTTTTAAGAGATAAGATTTTTTTAAAGTTTGCATTAAGAGATTTTTAAAATGCCTTGAGATTTTTAGGATATTGTATTTAGTTCTGTAAAAATTGTATTTAGTTCTATTGTATTTAGTTAAATGTACGATTGTTTATTTACATCTGTAATCTTTTTTTTTTTAACATTTGTAAGAATGGGTAAAGTATAAAGCTTTTATAAAAAAAAAAATTTGTAAAACTCTTAAGAATTTTTTGCTCATTGAGCTATATTTTATACAAAAAAAAAAAAAAAAATGTACTCACGAGTTAGGTTTTAGAAAGCATTGAAAAAAAATTATTCTGAAGCTAAGAATAAATATCAAAAAAATTTTCATATTTAATATTTCAATTCAAATAAAAATTGATTGTTTTATTCTCAAATTCAGTGTATATTTTTTATTCCGTTTCAGAATATTATTTTCGATGTGTTATTTTTAAATGAATGTTAATTGAGCGAATGTAAATTTTACCAAAGACAATACCTCATCGCATTTATATTATAAGAAAAAACGAAAAGTACAAATGTTATAGAATAGTATATATCGATATAGAAAAATCAGTAAAAAAAAAACAAAAAAAAAAAAAAAAAAAAAAACAAACCAAAAAAAAAGAAACTCATTAAAAGAGAAATTGACAATGATTCCAGTTATTTATTATGGAATCTGTAATTATGTAACAAAAATGTCTAATTGTAAATAGTTTTTGCAAATATAATATTGTATAATAAATAAACTGCGGTGTAATAATTACAATAAAAAAAAAAAATGAACTCTGTAATACCAGCAATAATTTGAATCAAGTATTTTTATAACAATTTTATAGTATTTGCATTTAATGTATATTTTCTTATTTTAAGATTATATGCACATATCTCTTTATAGACAAGTATTTATGCGCCTCCAGTCCTAAGAACAAATATTTGCATACCTTTCGCGCATTTCATCTATCAACACCATTAATACCACACAAACATTATGTGTGAAAAAATATTACATTTTTTTTTTAATCATACTTTTTCCAAAATTTAGAATTTTACAAATTATTTTTCACTAAAGAAAAAAAAAATATAAATGGTAATTTTATAATAAATTGAGAGAAATTTAGAAAAAAAAAAAATTTGAATAAGGAAGAAAGTGTGCAACAAGTTGGAAGCGTAAAGTATCATTGACTTTAGGTGAATAATTCACTGTTTCTTTTTTCTTTTTCAATCGGGAAGAGACTTTCGATCTATGAGATAATCGAACTTTGAATCAAAGTATAAGAATTCGTTGCCCTCTCTGCTGTAACAGTACAGAGATGGCTCATGAGAAAATAAATCCGTTTAGAGAGAACGCCCGCACTTGAAGCTATCTCTTCTTTTCTTTTTTCCTTCTTTTATATATCTATATATATATTCTCTTCTTTTGTTCCATTTATTTTGCATAACGAATTCTGAGCTTATAGTAGAGCACTCGTGTGGAGAGAAAGTGATACGTGATACAGATATTCTAAAAACGGAAGTCCGTGATTTCAACTCAGAACATCGTGTATATGACAATGTCATTTTTAATTTCTGTAAATTATTACCATAACATGTACAATTTTTGTAAAATTCTAAATTTTAATCCATTTTGGTATTAAAATAAGCAAAATTTGATTAAAATAATAAGCGTTGCAGCTTATTTTAATACCTTATAATTTTTTGTGATTTTAATAAATTCTTAATTCAGGAAATTTAGAAGAGTAAAACAGTGATGAGTTAAAGAGGAAAAAGTAATTAAAATCTTTTTTTTTTTTATATTATTATATTATAATTCAAGGATTACGATAAAAATCGCAAAATTTCACGGTAATAATATTAACATGGCGGAGAATAAAATATCTTGTAATTCGAAAACAATTGGAAGAATATTATTTATTACATTTATGGCCTAGAGTTCGAAATGATGTCAATGTAATAACTCGTTAGGGAAAAAAAAAACCCAAAGGTAATGAAGGATAATTATAATATTTAACATTCGTCTCTCCCAGTGCTTGGATGTATATATATATATATATATATATATATATTTGGAATTAAACAAATAATTTTCATTGTAAATTGAACGTTTTTTTTTTTCATCTAAGGAAAAATTATTTTTTTTTCCTATTTTTGTTATAAGGTCTTTTCTAATCTTGAAAAGTGTTTTCATTTGTTCGGAATCTTAACGGGATCCATTGCAATGTCTCGTCGACGTAAGTTTAACATTTACGTGCAACGAAGAAAGATATATTTTTTTCTTCCTTTTTTTCTTTTGAAGGGAGGGAAAATTAATTAACGAGTGTCACGACTTTTAACTCTCATGAGTATTCTTAACTTAGAACAGAAATAGTGTTGTATTTACACCGAGTGTTAAAAAATACTTCTTTTTTTTACAGAAAAAACCCTAAATTTTTTTACCAGAATTTATTAGAAATTAAAAAAAGAAAAATTATTATAAATTAAAATGGTTTTCAGGAAAAAATAAGAAAATTAAGTTAGAAAAAAATTCTTGTATAGAAAAAAATAAAAATTAGTAAAAATTTTTAATGTTTACTTTTTATACTGAATTAGAAAAAACGTTTCGGAGAACGAAATATTTTTATTCTCCAAATATTATATATAATAAATAAAAAAAAAAATACTAAAATAAAAAATTTGACAAAACCAATATGATTTAAAAGCAAACAACAAAAGTAAAAATAAATTGAGACAGGCGAACAATGCAATTGAAAAGTGAAAATAATTCATTGTCAAAAATAAATTTCCTAACTAAAAATGAAAAATTATTTGTTAATATATATATATATATATATATATTAATTACGTAATTAAGAAATTAATCTTTTATATATGCGTACATATATATATATATATAAGATATCAGATCGATGAACGCTTATTGCTTTTACACAATGCCGCATCAAGTGAATGATTACATGGAATAAGGAAGTGATTCAAAAAGAAAAACTTGGTCTTTTCCTAAGCGCAATTGCAACAAAATATAACTTAATCTTCCATTCATTTACTGACAGACACTCATCGTTCATGCAAATTGTATATATTTGTATATGCATTTATTAAAAATTTTTTTCACTAAAATCTTCCGCCTAATTTTATCATAATACTCGAATTAACAAAGAAGACAAATATTTCTCATAATTTAGAAATAATTTTTTTAATAATAAATTTTTAATAATTGAATCTAAAAATAAATTACGTGTAAATTTTATTTTACTTATGACAAATAAAATTTTTATTCTAGCCAAATAAATGTGCTGAGACAAATATATGTTTATTTAACTGAAATATGCTATATAGTTGATTCAAATCATTTTTCTGTGTAATTTTTTTTAGATTTTTATTACGATTTTATTTTATTATTACGATATTATTTTTTATTACGATTAAAGAAATGATAAAATTCAATTCCAGTATTTTTAAAATGAATAATTATTAATAATTACGAAATGACTAATATTTTAAGTCACTCCGAATGAGAAAGAGGGAGAGATTAATTACCGTTTTCTGATCGTTAACGTCCATTTTCCAATTGAATGGTCGACTAAAAATATTTTAACTTATTATATATCATCATTTTGATAATTTACAAAATTCTTAGCTGATTTCTTTATTTTTTTTTGAGAAAAAATCATTAATTAGTTTCTCGAGAGAGAATCTTCATCTTCAGATAAGTCGTTAAGCTCAATTGCTAGCGCAACGTTTCAATTTAACCACAAGCGCTAATGCTTATATTACAGTGAGAGATAGAGAAAGACAAGAAATGCGCGATGACACAAATCCTTTCAAAGATCGCGCTGAGTAAGTTTCATTCACTCTCAATCTGTAATTAATGATCCTTAAAAGAGGCTCATTATATACACGCCAAAGTATTAAAAACAATTTTCTTTAGAGACAAAATAATAAAATCACAAATACAAGAGACATTTATTTTCCATAGTATTTCATTTTTGTCATTATTGTTCTTTTTTTAAACTTTTAAAAGCGATATTTTTGCATATATATATCTCTATTTTCTCATTATATTTATACTGATTACCTTTTTAATATCTATATAATTAAAAAGAAAACGAATAACACATATATTAATTTCGCCTTAATATATTACATTTACTGATAAATAGGTTTTTCAAATATAGTCAAACGCGTAACCTTTGTGACTCGCTTGTTAAAAATGGCTTTCATACGTTTTTAATGTCTTAAGCAAAATTATTATAATCTCGTGGCTTTTGTGATTTTCATGAGGACGCGCGTGTTACGTGTACACTTATATTTCTTGTCTGCACGTAAGGTGGAAAATATATCATTAAAATCACCACCATCTCCAAAGAAAATACTGGTCAGAATTTATTTTCTACATGGAAAATAAAAATTTATTTGGAAGAGGCTAAAAAGATAAATTATTTCTACTCAAGTAGAAAAAGATGTTTCCTGTCAGAAAGAAATCATAAAGCAGAAGAAATAACCAAAACTAAAAGCTAAGGAAAAAACCTTTAATTTTATGTACAAAATAAAATTTTTGGGAAGAAAAAAATTACTTGCAAAGTGAAAACAGAAGTTATTGAACAGACAAAAGATATTGACCTAGCTCAGCATCCGCTGAACCAATCAAAATGTGCGCCATACATTCTTTGTTCAGAACTTTCTTCTAATGACTTTCATGCTATAGCGGAGTTATTATCTCAAAAATTTAATTTTTCCAAAATTTTTCCTACGATTTTTTGAGTGTAGCTCAGCATCCGCTGGACCAATCAAAAAGTGCGCCATACATTTTTTGTTCGAGACTCCCGGGTTAAGACTTTGGCGGTATTCCCGACCAATTATCTCGCAAATTTAATTTTTCTAAATTTTTTAAAAAATTTATCTGAGTGTAGCTCAGCATCCGCTGGACCAATCAAAAAGTGCGCCATACATTTTTTGTTCGAGACTCCCGGGTTAAGACTTTGGCGGTATTCCCGACTAATTATCTCGCAAATTTAATTTTTCTAAATTTTTTAAAAAATTTATCTGAGTGTAGCTCAGCATCCGCTGGACCAATCAAAATGTGCGCTATACATTTTTTGTTCGAGACTCCCGGGTTAAGACTTTGGCGGTATTCCCGATTAATTATCTCGCAAATTTAATTTTTCTAAATTTTTTAAAAAATTTATCTGAGTGTAGCTCAGCATCCGCTGGACCAATCAAAAAGTGCGCCATACATTTTTTGTTCGAGACTCCCGGGTTAAGACTTTGGCGGTATTCTCGACCAATTATCTCGCAAATTTAATTTTTCGAATATTTTTCATAAATTTATTTGAGTGTAGCTCAGCATCCGCTGGACCAATCAAAATGTGCGCTATACATTTTTTGTTCGAGACTCCCGGGTTAAGACTTTGGCGGTATTCCCGACTAATTATCTCGCAAATTTAATTTTTCTAAATTTTTTAAAAAATTTATCTGAGTGTAGCTCAGCATCCGCTGGACCAATCAAAAAGTGCGCCATACATTTTTTGTTCGAGACTCCCGGGTTAAGACTTTGGCGGTATTCCCGACTAATTATCTCGCAAATTTAATTTTTCTAAATTTTTTGAAAAATTTATCTGAGTGTAGCTCAGC